AAGACTAAAAAAGCTTGAGTCACCATTATGTCAACGACCCTGGTTTTTTGTAACCATCCTCCCCGTAGTCAGGGCTTACAGCCCAGGCTCTGTCCCTGATAACTTCCCGCCAAACTAAGCCATCGGCCTTCCTTACGCTCTTCCAGACCCTCCCTCCCCGCAGGAGCAGGAAGGAGCGCTGTTCTCTGGCCTCCGGAAGCTTCCATGCAATGAATGATGTCATTCTTTCCTTTCCCCATTCCTGCTGCCATGCTCTGGGGCTCCCTCTTCCTGAAAACCCCAGCTCACCCTTTTCTCATTATTCCCACAGGAGCGACTCGGCTGTGTGGACTAAGGCTCATTGCTGTGGCTGATGACAAGCAAGGCTGCACGTGCTGAGGGGCAATTACTGGGGGAGGGGTTGTCGTGCGTCCTCTCCACGTTGTGTTTACTGCACGCATACAAATTGCACTTACATGACACACACCCGTACCCCATGGAAAACCTTCCCCTGCATCGCAAACCACGGAAAGAGTACCACACAGCGTGGGAATCAGGAGTCGCAGGCCAGCTCCACCCCTGACTTCCTGTGTGACTAAGGGAGCCGCTCTCCCCATCTGTGAGCCTTGGTACCCTCAACTATAAAGCGAGGGCACACCAAAGCATCACCTCATTTTATCTCACTGCCTCCAAAACTGCCAACTGAAGTTTTCTCTGTGCTAGTGAGCATCTTCTTCACAAAATACAAATGTCCCTAGAAACTATAAGTCATTCACCACATAGTATGAAATAGTCAAAACAGTGAAACTATACAGTAAAGCCACCTGCACTGGGGCAATGACCATTCCAGCGGAGAGGGGAGGGTTATGGATATGAAGTAAGGGAAACCATGGTGTGACAAACTGAGGCTCAGATAGGTTATGTCACCTTAGATACCATGGCTAGTTAGTGACAGATCTAGTAGTCAGGTGCCAAATAACAGCATTTCAGTCAACAGATTGCATATACGACGGTGGTCCCATAAGATTAGTACCACACAGCCTAGGTGTGTAGTGGGCTGTACCATCTAGGTGTGTGTAAGCCCACTCTGTGATGTTTGCACAACGATGAAATCGCCTAACGACACATTTCTCAGAAGGCGTCCCCGTCGTTAAGGCACATGCGGCTGCTCTGGTTTTCCAGTCTGTCTAGTTCCAAGTCGCGGTCCGTTACCCCGCAAACCAACACTCGGAGAATGACCTTCACGATACAAGAAATACAAATACGACGCTGAGAAAAGATGTCACTTTATCTAGAAGGTGAAATTTACGGTCCTAATGATCACGGCTCAGATAAAGCGTCGGTATCAAGTGAACTGAGACAGACGGTGTGTCATGAATACAGCCCCACCACTGGAACAGCTTCACAGATGAAGAGCGAGTCCGACGTCCCCCTGCCCTGCCGCCCTCCCCACCCCCAACACCATCTCCATCCCTTCCAGTAACGTCTTCACTCTCTGACCCTCCCTCCTTCTCCTCCAGGCCCCCTGCAGTCCGTGGGCCCTTTCCTCCCACAGCAGCTGATGGCAACGTATTGGGTAGGAGGAGCGGGGGAGGGGAGGGGCGCTGGGTTAGAATCCAGCCCCTGCTCCGCTCGCCTCTGAATCGTTTCCTTCTATCCCTCCACGCCCAAAGCAAAGATGAGAAGGACGGCAATATTTTCTCATCCGACAGAGTCTGCACTAGAGACCAGAGACATACAATATGTGCTGGGAAGCACCGCTGAAAGGAAACTGAGCAAGTAATTCATGCATTCATTCAACAAACACTTATGGAGCCCCTAGCAGGTACCAGGCGCTGTTCTAGGTACTGGGGATGCAGCCGAGAAAAAACCAGTGTTGGGGGTGGTAGGACGTGGTCGGATCCTGGATACATTGCGAAGGCAGAGCTGACGGGGTGTGCTGATGTGGAGATGCGCGCGCACACACACACACACACACAGAGGAGAGGGGAGAAGGAGGAGGAGGGGGAAAGAGAGAGAACAGGAGTTCAGCTCAGCCTTTGCTCTCCTGTACTCCAGCGGAAAGCTGCAGGAAGCCAGCGCCATCACACCTCGGGTTCCTGGAAAGGCTGGCGGAGCGCCCGGAGCCTCTGACGGCGGGAGGCAGAGCGGGACCAAGCACGGGAGGGCAGGCGGAAATCCGTGCAGGAAGCGGCCGGGCCTGGGGTCCCTGACCCTGCTGCTCAGCCGGGCCACCGCCTCCCCACCCTGGCTGCCCGTGGGAGGTCCCAGAGCTGGACATCGGGACACCCATCCCTCCCATGCCACTTCCCTCCCCCAAGGAAACGTTGGGGAAAATATTCCAAACTTCCTAAAAGATCAAATGCTGAAGGAAAAAGCCACTTGGGGTTAAAAGCCATCGTAAGCTCTGTTCACCGCAGAGGACCAGGTCCAGGTGGCCGGAGAATGAATTCCAAGGAGGATGTGGTGATGGTGGAGCCGGGCCTGCTCAGCGGAACCCTAGTCCACCTGCAGACCTGAGAGTGTGCAAATAGATTCTGAGGTCGCTGAGTGTGGGTTGCTTCATTGTGCAACAGCCGATTGCTGTTAATCAGCTGAAGCCACAGCCGATTAACACAGAGAAGTTAAGTGACTCACGGAGGGACACACAGCCGTTAAGCAGCAGCCCTGCGACTTCCTTGTCCAGAGCTCCTTCTCTCCCTCGGGCTGGGGCTGGGGAGGAGTAGCAGTAAGCCCCCAGGATGCAGGGCTCAGACTATTTGGGGGTAAAAGGAAGGAACTGTGGCCTTGTGGGCAGCAGTATCCTCATCACACCAGGGAGCAAGGAGCACCAGCCCACGCGGGACTGCTCCTGGCCAGGTCCTGGGAGAGCGTGGGGCTCTGAGGTAGACCCCAAGGTGCATGGGCAAGCTGGAGGGCTGCCCTGGGGAGCTCTTGGGGGCACCCTGCCTCCCCCAGACTCGCCAGCCTCAGCCTGCTGACGTGACAGCTCTGGGTCTGAGACAGCAAAAACCAGGCACTGGGGCTACACGGAGTCTTTGTGCAGAATCGCAAAAAGATATGCTCCAGGTCATCACAGCCTGCTGGCTTCTGTGTGAACTAAAAGGTGCCACTTCCTCCAGGTAGGAGGCACAGCCTTTTGGAAAAGAGAGCAGGGCTGGATTTCACCCAGCTTTGTCCCTGGGCCAGATGCTTTGTCCAGTACACAACCTGAACAACCAGACACAGCAGACCCTGGAAGAGTGGGGAGGGTGCCTGTTTGGCTCCTGCTGCCTGACAGTGAGTTCCACCGCTCTCATCCCCCAGCAGGCATGCTCTGATCCTACTCTGCCCACCTCACACCAGGACAACAGCACCAGCACACAGTAGGCCCGCAGCAGTTGGTGTGTCCAACGAATAAACCAGCAGTAACGACAGGGAGCTGTCTACTTGAGGCCTCTGGGACTCACCCCATCGGCTTCTGTCTGCAGCCTTCCCCTCATGTGTGTGTGGTAGAGGATGTTGATTCTGGGGTCTGGGCCAGCGTGAGGCAAACACCAGGGCGCCCCAGTCCTGGGGATGGGGATGCAAGAAGCAGCAGCGGCCGCTGGAGGCAGTGAGCACCCAGCTCCCCCCACTGTCCCTCCTCCAGCCCGCACCTGCTTCCTGCCGCCAAAAGGCTCTCAGCCGCCAGCAGACAGAGCTGCTCGTCCTGGAGCTGGGCCCTGGAGGGCTCGGGGGCCCCAGGGAGCACTTGGCTGAAACTCACAGCGAGGGGAGAACTGATGTGCGGGTGTTGGGAGGGATGCGGGTGGAGGGAGTTGGGAGGAGGAGTGGAGGGCAGTGAGCACCAGGCAGTAAACTGGGAGATGGGGCCTCCCTAAGCTGTGCAGCGTGGCAGATGGGAGGGCTCTGGAGTGTGGCAGACACGCGCTGGTTCCAAGAGCGTGGCCCCCACGAGCCGAGGAAGCTTCTGCTGGAGCTGAGGCCTCTCCCTGTTCTCATCTGGAAAGGGCGAGTGATGCTGCTCAGCCCAAGGGGCCCCGAGGGGCTCCATGAAGCCAGGCATGGACCCCTGCACAGGGACAGGCAGAGGCCAGCTTCGGACAGATGTTCCTTCCCCTTCCCGAGGTTGTGGAGGTGTGCTGTCAGGGACATGAGTCACCACTTGTCCCCTGATCACGATTTCCCTCAGAGCTGGAAAGAAAGTTCTTCAGATGTGTTTCTTTTTATTGAAAAGTCAGTGCCCTGAAACCCACATTATTCCCCTTTTATTTGGCTACCAGGAAGCTCAGACCTCATTTTTCCATTCGATTGTCACAGCTGCCCATAGCCTCAGTGTCCAGTATAATTATTCTCACCTTTTCCCTCTTCAACCACTACTTGACCTTACGTTTTCACTCTTCTGCAATACAGATCTTTTTATTGTGTCTGTGTATTTTATTTTAAGTCTCTTTCACTCCTTCTTGGAAGTAGAGAGGGACCTACATAGCATGCTTGGGGGGATGGATTAAAGGGGTACAGGCGTGAGACCCTGTGTGCCAGGCACTGGGATTTGAGCTCCAACAGAAAGAAAATTGATTTCACAGGCAGAGCCAGACAGACTGGGGCCTGACTCCCGGCTCCACAGTCTGGGCATCCGTGAGCCTCAGCTTCCTCAGGTGCAAAACAGGGACAAAGCCCCAGCCCTTGCAGGTTGCTGGGCGAGGAAGCTCAGAGACACAGTACAGTAAAGCCACGCGCGTGCCCAATGCCGGGGGGCAGGGGGCACTGTGTCCTGGCCGGGGAAGACGGATGCCGCCTGTATCAGATTCGTTCACTTAAAAAAGGAGCAAACGAAGTCGAAAGGACTGGCTCGCACAGCAGAAACGAGCTTTCTTCCAGATAAACACACAGGGACTTTAGGAAATGGAAGACCCCCAGCCCAGCGCGCCTCCACGTGGAAGAAGAAACCCTCAAAGGCATGGACAGCTTTTCAGAAGGAGGCAATGAGAGGACCAGGGAGCTTCAGGTACAGAGAAAAGCTCTCACCAGGTTCCTTACAGCCCCTGGAAAGACGGCCTTCGGAGCCTGCGCGCAGTGCCATCGCTTTACCTTAGTCTGTCACCCCACCCTCCTCATGAGTGGCGTCCGCCTGAGCGGGGTCCCCGTCCGCGGCCCCAGGCCGCCCGCACTGCTGCTACGGCTCCTTGTCACCCTCGCCTTAAGGGACTCTTTTTCATTCTGCTTTTCGGAAAGCACCTGCACGGAGATCCGCAGCGGTAGCCCGTCCCAGGGCCTCTCCGGGGCGCTGCGCGAGTACTAACCCGCTTACTCCTCACAGCCACGCTAGGAGGTCGGTATCCCCACTCTGCAGACTAGGAAACCGAGGCACAGATTAGGACCGACGTGAGGGAAGGGCCGGAACCCAGTGCCACGCAGCGTGTGTGTGCTCAGCCCTACCCAGACCGTGACTGTCCCTCGTTGGGTCAGGAAGCAAATGCCTGTATTTAACTCAGGCCCCCCACTCAGACACCCCCCGGTGAGGGCAGGGCCCCCGTCCAGCTATTTCACTGCTTAAAACCACACCGGTCCCACCGTAGGGGCTCAAAAAGTAAGAGCTGAATTGAGTCAACACATCAGAGGGTAGGTGTTGGGGGGACTGTGGGCAACAGGGACCCCCAAGCATTGCAAGTGGGAGCAAAAACTGTACAACCTGGAAATGGGGTGGGGAGTGGGGGTGGCCAGGTCCTCTGCTTTGACCCAGCACTTCTCCTTCCAGGAACCCACCGTCAGATGTGTGCACACGCGTGTGAAGAGCTGTGTGTACGAGCATCTCCAGGGCAATACCAGTTTCAACAGCAAAAGCCCAGAAGCAACACAAATGTCCGTTGAAAAGGGACTGGAAAATCCACACAACGGAACACAACGCCACTGTCCAAAAGATGAAGGAGAAGCTACGCTCTGAGGCGGAATGATCAGCAAGATAAACTAGATGAGAAGCGGAGCGGGGGCAGAGCGTGGGTGCCCGTGTGTGCCTGTGCGTGACCACAGAGGACACAGGACGTCCCTGGGAGGATTCGTAAGAAGCTGGGCCTTTGCCTCTGGGAAGGGAACCGGGAACAGAGTGGGAAGGACTCTGTGCTCCTGGATTCGGAAGAATGAATGTTTGACCGACACTAAAACCACACGAGGAAGTCACAGCGGGATCACGGAAAGAGAGCGCCTTCTGCTCAGGGATTACAGAAAGTCATGGACTTGCACCCCCATTTCCTACCCGTGACCGCACCCCAGGCCTTTGTCCATGTGGTTGCCCCTGCCTGGCTGACCCCTGCTGGTCTCCAGGGCCCACCTCAGTTGGAACTTCCTCCAGGAAGCCCTCCCGGACCCCTCGCTGGTCAGCGTCCACTCTGTGCCCCTGGACCCTGTGCTCTCCCTACCAACCCCTGCTCACACCATGTGCTCTTGGTCTATCTGCCTCTCTAGGAGCCTGGAGGATGGGGACCTGGAGGGAGACCCCTGTGACCCAGCCTGCAGCCCCACCCCTGCCCCGGCAGGACTAGGAGAAGTATCTGCTGAGCAGGCACTCTGCCACATGAGGAACATCCCAGAAGGGCAGGACCGTGAACCAGGCAGCAGGGAGAGAAACCACACTGAGCACGCCTACCGCCTGGCCACAGGCCAGGCCAACGCTCTCACGTGATTTGCCAGAAAGCCCAGGGGGCCTTTGCGTGGTCGTGGGGGTGCATTTACCTTGCTGGGCTCAGGGCTCCCGCTCCTCAGCGCCCGGCCAGGGAAGGCCACCATCGTTGCTCGCTGACAGCCCTCTGACAGATTGGTTTCCGCTGCAGGCCGCTGGACTGGCCCATCTGGCTGGTCTCCAAGGGCCTGGGGTCGCTCGGTGGCATTCCTGGCACGTGGGGCGGCTGCACCCAGCGCCTGCGTGCCGAGTTCTCACCTGCCCCCTCTTGGTCACCCGAGCACGTCCTGTCCTCCACTTGGGAGCATCAGACCAGGCTGGGCCTCGGCTGTACCAGGCCCACGGCAGGGGGTGGCAGGGGAACCCAGTGGCCTCTTCCGAGAGCTGGGGTCTACAGTCAAGGCAAGGAAAACGCCAGAGTCTGCCATGCACCGTCGCAGAAGCGCCCCTGGGGAATCAATGCACAAAGCAACAACCAGCTGAGGCGACCGCTGTGCCGCCCCAGGCGGGGTTCACAGCTTGGGCGAGTAAGTGGTTTCTGGCTTTCGAAACTGATTTATTGTGGAAGCGTCGGGTTACGCTGCAGAGATTGCCTTGGCTGCCTTGCATGGATTTTCCCAGGCCGCCTCTGCGCCAAGGACCAGAATGTGAGCAGACGCAGGAGGGAGTGCTTAAGTGACAAGACGCCCAGCGTTCTAGCCTGGCGGGAGTGTCCCGAGACCAGAAATGACCCCGGCTGCACCCAGCGGCTCAGCGCTGAGGCCCCGCTGGCTCTTCACCCCAACATCACCCGGCTCCCGTCCTCTCTTCAGCGTATTCCCGATGCTCAAAGCTAATGGCATTGTCCCCAGATAAAGGAAGAGAAGGGCCAGAGGAGGAGATCACAAACCAGTGGTACTGGCCAGCTCTGCAGGATGCCGCACAATTGGCAATTTCGGGGGTGGCTATGGTGGTCGAAATTGCAAAAGCGATGACAGCAGTGGTTTCCAATCTGGGGGGTCCTTGAGCAGTGATGACGGGGCCACAGGGTTTCCGGAAGGTCCTGGATGATGGAGACGGACAGCATCTTCTTTATTCCCGTTTCCCACACCGATCCGAGGACCCGGCACTCACCCGGCCCTTAGTGCTAGATGCTTATTGAACAAATGACTGGATGGGTCCATTGGCAAAGTGTTCCAAAGATACGTGGATGGACACGGTGATGTGGATGGTCACACAGCCCCAGGGGCTCAGGAAGATGGGAGCAGCTCAGCGTGCTGCCACTGGCTCCATCACACGGCTGTTCTTATGAGTCAATGGCCCCGCAGTTTTCCTCAGAATAAATCCACTCATTTCTACCACTGGACTATGGTTAGTGATAGAAGGTGTGAACAGTAGGGGAAGCTGGGTGAAGGGTCTGCAAGGACTCTCTGCACTTTTCATTTCAACATACGCATTAAAACACATTAAAATACAACCTACATGCTCTGCCTATCACCCCAGGAGCCCTTGGCTCCTGTCCTGGCCCCTTCTTATCCTTAGATGACAACCCTTCCAGGAGGGAGCAGCATTGGGAAGGAGACTGTGACCTTTCACCCCAGCCCCTCGCCAGACCCTACCAAGGGGAGAGATGGTGTCTCTAACTGGTGAGCCTGCACACAGGTCTGGGCACGGGTGGCCCAAGCCCCCAAGACTCTCCTTCTGGGCAGCCTGCCCTCAGGACGGACACATTCTTCTTTCACCCCAGGTCCCCTCCCACTGGTCAGGGCACAGTCCTGCCCTCAGGGGAAGGAAGGGCACTGGAGGGGGATGAGGCAGGGACCCTGTGGCTGGCTTAGAAGGGGCTGCTTGGCACACTCCTCCTCCAGTGGCACACCCGAAGTTCAGTTTCATGCCTCAGAGCCTTTGCACATGCTGTTCCCTCTGACTTTAACACCCTTCCCCACCTCACTCATGTGTTGAACATCTCCTTGGGCCTGGGGGCCCTGCTCAGCCCTTCCTTCCTGAATGCCTTGCATTCCTGGAAGCCAGGCAGAACCCGCCCTTCCCTTGGTCTCACGTACACGGCACGCGGTTATTGTTTACCTGTCTCTCTCCTGTTGCCCTGCGAGCTCCCGGGGCAGGAACCAACGTCGACCCACCTCTTTCGCCTTCACATCTTATTGCCTGGCGTATATTGGATGTCACAAATGTTTGTTGAATGAATGGACTTATTAGAAAGCTCGGATTGGTTTTAATGTTTTAAAATGTAAAACATATAATTACTTCAATCAAGCGTTTCATTTGGTAGGCAAAAATCTCTTAAAACATGGGGAGGGGCTCTGGGAGCAGGAAAATAACAAAACGGTCCTCCGTGGCTGACGACATTGGGAGCTGTGAGACGGGCCCAGGGCCTCCAAACCCCGGGCTGCTGCCGTGTGGGCTGGGTCATTCTTTGTGGCGGGGGCCATCTCGTGCACTGTAGGATCTTCACCAGCATCCCTGGCCTCTGCCCACTAGATGCCAGGAGCGGCTTCCCAGTTGTGACAACAGAAAATGTCTCCAAGCATTGCCAGTGCTGCCCTGGGAGGGCAAAACCATGCCCCTGGAGACGCGCTGGCCTGGTCGTTCAGTAGATTTTGGGACAGCAAACATTCCCTCTGCTGCCTCGACACTCACCAGGCCCAGCCCCTCAGAACTCACCCGGGGCGCCTGGGACGTCTCGGAGCTCTGACAACGCGCAGGAAGCCCTGAGCCAAAGGCAAAACCACTTGCCACTGAATGAGGGCTTTGATTGCTACCAATTTCTTAAAGCGCTCTCTGAAGGTTCTGCTTCAAATATTTATGGAGTCTACGAAAGGCCCCGGAGAGGGAGTGATCCTATTAAATTTATAACTCCAGGGGTGATTTATGGACCTGGGAATTGCTGCAAATGCTTTCTCTAAGCTCTTTGTGGAAAGCCAGGATCCTCGCGGGGCTCAGGAGCTCAGAGCACGGTGGGCGGCCGTCAGCCGGGAGGGCGGGACAGGACATTCCATCTTTTTCTTGCAGACCTTGTGCAGGGAGTCCGGGTCGCACAGAGATGGGGCGCGGTCCAGCATCTGGCGTGGGCCCGGAGGACAGGGGGAGCTGGGGGCAAGAGCATAATGAAATGGTCTCTGCTTCTGCATGTCTATATAGCCCCTCCGATCCCACACTCTGTCCAGGGGAGAGACAACAACGAAAGCCGACATTTACTGAGCACCTTCTGTGCGGGGCACCCAACGCCCCCCCATGCCCTGGCTCACTGCCTCCCCTGGCAGCCCAGTGAGGCACACGCCAGCATCCCCGGGTTAGGGATGAGGAACTGGAGACTGGGTTGGGGGAGGCCCTCGGCCCGTGTCATCCAGCAGGTACCTGACAGCCGCTGATGGGCATCCCCACAGAGTGGATGCCCTCTGTGAATGTCCTTATTCCCAGTGACAAGAGATGGAGACCTTCCCATTGAAAGGAAATCAGTGTTTACTGGATGCCCACCTCGCGCCCAGCACTGCTCAGGGCTCTCAGACGTGCTGTCTCACTCGCTTTCACTCCATGCTCCCAACAGGCCATTATCAGGCCCACATTACAGATAAGGAAACATTCACCTGTTTCAACGACCTTAAACAGCTTGCCTAAATCTATGAGGCTCTGAAATGGCTGGTGCAGTCTTCAAACCCGAGCCCAGCTGCATTCAAAGCCCCGCTCTGCCTGCATCTCCACCAGCGGCTCTTATACGTGTGTCAGCCCTTCACCAACAGAGTTTATCAAGCCGCTTCCCTGAAGATCACGCTCAGTGACAGGAGTCCCACGGACGCCTGTGCTCGGTCCCCTGGAAGGGTGTGACCAGAGTGTCTGTGCCTCACCAGTCAGAAAAGCGGAACGGACCACACTCCTCCAGTGGTCCCAGGAGGCAGTGACGGCGGGCAGTCCTCAGGTGCAGTGCCCTTGGCCTCACTGGTGGAAGATGGCTGAGAAAGAGGCTGGCAGTGGAGGAGAGGAGCGGATGACCAGGGAGCACCTCCCTGTGAGCCACGCTGGACCAGCGCCTGCCCCCGGCTGCTCCCCATCCAGTGGGAGAGGCGGGCAGACAGACGTGCAATTGCGCTGCAGAGATCAGGCCAGAAGAGGGGCCCACACAGGTGCCGGTGCAGCCCCCGGGAGGGGAGCACCAGCTGCACACTGAGGAGCCAGGCTCTCTGCACACGTCACTGCATAGAGTCTTGCGTGAACAGAATGCCACACCAACTTAAGGAGTCTGTGCTTCACCTTCAGCCAGATGCAACCACTGGCTTTGCAGGGAAGGGAGCACAATATCGGCAGTGTCATGTGGTTCAGCCTGTGACAGTGGACACTGAGCTCTGACGACGGGCCAGGCATTGTTCTAAGCAATTTACACACACTGATTCATTCAGTCTTTAACCCAAAGAGGTACGTCATGTTATTATCCGATGACACAGATGAAGAAACAGAGGCCCAGAGAGGTTAAGTGACTTGCCCAAGCCACACAGCTAATTGGAGGCAGAAACAGGATTCAAACCCAGGCCGCATGGCTCCCAAGCCTGCACTGCTCAGCACTACGGTCTGCAGGTGGACACGGGGACAGGTGACGGGTCTCCAGGGGAAGGGTGCTATGCTCAGGCTCACGTGATGGAGGTTGAACACTTCTGCGATTGCTAAGGGCCTTTTCAGCTTTTTCAGGATATTTTTGTGTATTTTTAGGCTCCCCTCCCCTGTTTTGTCTTCTCTAAGCTCAACTGTAAAATACTATAATTGTAACATGACAAATTTAGTTACCGTCCTTCAAAAATGACCTCATTTCGCTTCTAGGTCACCAATCCCGCAGTGCCTTTATTTAACAAGCTCGTTTTCACCAGAGGAAGCTCTTACCCAGAGCCAGCCCAGGCATCCGGCTCACAACCTGGTGCTCCGCTGGGCAGAGGGCGCGGCTCCCCGGCGCCCGTTACCACGGAACCACGGCGGCCAGTGAAAATGCACCGTGCAGACGAGGACCAGGTGCCCACACGACCTTCTAGAGAAACAGCCCAACAGCCCCCCCTCTCATTCTTCATCCAACAAGGCCTTTCTGAAGGCCTCTGTGGGCCGTGTAAAATGTGGGAACAAAAATGTCTAAACTGACATTCTGCCATCACGCCACAAAGAAACAAAGTCTGCTCTAGACCTGAAATTGTGTTCAATAAAGGGAGAGCTTTCGTCCAGTGGCGTTTGACGTCTGTGGTGGTAACTGAAGGAGGGTGAAGAACAATTGAGAAACTTGGAAGCATAAGAGTATTAGAAGGCGCTCTGGTTCACCGTGCGTTCAGGGCGGGCCCTAACTATTGCCTCAAAGCCTTGCCCTGGGTTTCTGGCCAGTCTCGCCTAGAGCAGACATGCAAGGGTTTTTTTCTTGCTCCAGATTGGAACATCCAGGGAGGCAGGAGGGCCCGCCCTCACCCCCTCAATGAGGGCCCAGCATGATCTGGCCGCGTAATGCCCAGGGCGCCAGCTCCAGGGCCAGGCTGCCCGGGTTGGAAGCCCCACTCCACCCCTTACAAGCCGTGAGAGCTGGAGTCAGCTAAACTGCATCCATGGGGCTCCTCTGGACCTCTGCTCTTCTCACAGGTGAAGTGGGGCTGATGCTGAGCTCCGTGCCGGGGGCTAGGCGTGAGTACTAGAAAAGCTGGTAAAAGCCTGGCACACAGTAAGCCGTCAAGAACGGGAGAGGGCGTTTTCTTTCTCACTGTTGCCCTAACCCACATCATCATTACGAGCTCCTGCGTCACAGAGGGTGCAGCCGCGGTTAATCGCTGCAGTCCCCCCCTACTTCAGGAGCACTCGCCCCTCTGTCTTCCCGGGTCTCGTTCCCCTCGTCTAGAACACCTTCTACCTGCTGATGCTAAGGTAGGGCAAAGATCCAACGTTGGGGGTGACATTCCCAGAAAAAGATCACAGCTGGAAAGAAGTTCTTATTACTAGGCAATAAGACTGTAGACAAGTCATTTAAAATGAAAGTCATCAATCAGAAAAAAACTTTACGAAGGTCAGTAACAGTAGCTGTCATTTATCGAACGCCTCCCTGTGCCAGGCAGTAAGGTTAAGTCCTTCACGTGCACAATGCCACTGAATTGTCCCAGCAACCCTGAGAGGTAAATACTGTCTCCACTTTTTAGATTAAAAAAACAATGAATGGAAGCATGGAGACAGGAGAGAAACCACCGGGATAAAAGGTGAAAGAAAAATAATAATAGGTTGAGATTAAGTGCCAAGAATAAGCTCGGTCTCCTCCCGAGTCACGGCTGGGTTTCTCTTGAGCACCTCTTACAGCCCAGGCACACCCTCAGCCCCGCTGCCCTGATTTCGCCCAGGAGGCAGGACCAGCCCCATTCTGAGATGCAGAGTCAGGCACAGACGCACTAACGACTTGCCCGACATCAACTGAATTAGGGCTGCGACTTGAATTCAGGTCCGTCAGACTCCAAATCTCAGAAGCCAAGTAAGTTTTCTCTGGGAAAACAGAGTGCGGCTCTGGCTCCGACCGATTAGGACATTTCGGACCAAACTTCCAGTGGGCACGACTAGAAAAGCTGGACAACATGTGACAAAACATCTTTTTAAACCATCTGAGAGCTGCCGAGACGGTGAGGATTTGTGGGACTAAAACTGAAAAGTGGAGAGAAGCCAGGAGGAGGGGACACAGCCTCCGAGGGCACGTTTCCCCTCAAGGCGATGGCAGAGCCTGTGCATGTCGGTGGCAGCTGAGACGTGGAAAGCTGAGCCGAGCTTGGACAGCCTCACGAGGCTGACCGAGACCAAGGGGGAGGGCCTCTGTGGGTACGAGGGGCTTTGGGTCTGGACCCTGGAAGGCGACGCCCTAGGAGTAAGAGTGACCGAGATAAAGCAGACTTTGTAAGTCCTGAACTCATCTCCCAGTCAGTTCCACGGTGAGGAACGGTCTGCCCCGGGCTAGCTGCCTGCCAGAAGCTGAAGGACGTCCACTCTGCACGGAGACACGGTCAAGCAGAAGCTCCCATTACGTCTTCAGGTTTCCACACAATGTCTAGCCCTCAATGAAAAATAACCAGACACGGACCACATGGATAGACCCAAACCACAAATTCAAACACAGACAATAGAAAGAAACCGGGGTGGGGGGAAGCCGGGGGGCCTTCTGGTGTTGGTGATGTTCATTTACTGGTGGTGGGTGTGTGTCACCGTGATAATTCGTTGAGTCATAAACATAGGAGTTGTACCCTTTTCTGTATGTGTATTATACTTTCATTTAAAAAGTTTATTTAAGAAATTAGGTGACTGACATCCTCTCACCTTCAAAGAATTCGGTCCAGCTGCCTGTGTTGGCCCCTCAGCCGTGGGAATTGGCCAGGACTCTGAACACAATGGTCTTTGGAGGACGCTGTCAATTTCGGGATCCAGGACACATTTCTGAGCTGGAAGAGAAGATTCCCAGTCAAGCCTCAGCGGAGAAATCTATTCTGAAAATCTACAAGTCTCTGAGCCTTGTAATAACCTTCTACATCCTCTTGCCCAGGTCACTCCCAGATCCCCACAGCCCAAGACAGGGGTCCACTCGGAAGCCGTGGACTCTCCGCGTGCCTCCTCCATGGCCTCTGACGGAAGTGTCATGGTCTGGGTGTCTTAGAAGACTGCCTGCCCGCCTCACTTTTCCCTCCCCGGCTGCCAGATCCATCGCACAGGGGCCACCCCCGTGCAAGCTGACTCATCCCGTAAGCCCTACAAGCCAGCCGGGGTCTGGCACCCGGCAGCCTTCCAGAAATGTCGAATGAATAAGTAACTCAATCAGTCTAGTGTGTTTCCTTCTTTTAAAGGGAGCGAGCTGAGCCCAGAGAAGGGAGGAGACCTGCACAAATTAGAGACCAAAGTGGGACCAGCTAGAATATATGCCCCTCCAAGTGTGAAAACAGAGGCCAACACGGGCTGCAGGGGTGGAAGATAAAGTTACAGGGGGAAGGCCCATCCTGACCAGCGAGAGACTGAGGACACATCTCTCTTGTCTATTGACGCCCTATATGTGCCAGGCACTAGACACTCCTGAGAAAGGCAATGTTACTCTCCTTTTAAAGAGTTTTGGGCTCAGAGAGGTTACTTAACTCATCCAAGATCACACAGCTGGTAAGAACAGAATCTAGTAATAAGAGTTGCTAGATGAGCAGATCTCAAGAGCAGCTCACGGGGCTGGCCCAGTGGCCGAGTGGTTAAGTTTGCACACTCCACTTCAGTGGCCCAGGGTTCATCAGTTTGGACCCTGGGCATGGACCTACACACTGCTCATCAAGCCATGCTGAGGCAGCATCCCACATAGAAGAACTAGAATGACTTACAACTAGGATATACAACTATGTACAGGGGCTTTGAGGAGGAAAAAATAAAGAGGAAGATTGGCAACAGACGTTAGCTCAGGGCCAATCTTCCTCACCAAAAAGAAAAAAAAACAAGAACAGCTCAGTCACCTGAAGGTAACACCACCCATACTTTCTCTTTGTTTTTACTGAGCACCTGAAATGAACACAACCTTAAACAAATCCTTAGGAACCTCACCCCATCCCTGTGCTGATAGTATATTGCACTTGAACAGGGGAATTCCGTCTGGCCAGGTAGCATCTTAATTTTCTTTCTAATAATATAATAACAGAGCAGGGACTGGCCCCTTGGCATAGTGGTTAAGTCTGGTGCACTCTGCTTTGGTGTTCTGGGTTCGTGGGTTCAGATTCTGGGCGCGGACCTACAGCACTCATCAGCCATGCTGTGGTGGCGTCCCACATATAAATTGGAGGAAGATTGGCACAGATGTTAGCTCAGGGCCAATCCTCCTCAGCAAAAAAATATATATAAATATGTATATAACGGAACAAAAAGAGGAAAAAAATATCACCCATGTTACTGTCTTTCTAAGGAACCACTGTTAGTATTTTAGTATCTCTCTAGCCTAAGTTACCAGTCAGACACAGACGTGCATGTACAGTTACATCATTGTGGTCATCCATTTCCTATTTTTTAAATTTAGTAGAATATCATAATTTCCATGCTAGCATATGGTGCTTATCAGCCTCACTTTAAGTAAGTATATAATATTTCATTGAGTATATGGGTTAACTATCAACACTGGAGATTTTCCCCTGAATTTTTCCCTATTATCAGTGCCCTGGCACGAATACCTGGCCACAGAGCTTTTCCACACATAGAATGGTTTACTTAGGACAAATCTCCAGGCGTGAAACCACAGGGCTGAGGAATTTGGCCATTTCTGTCATGCAGCATTTTCCAATGCGTCCTCCCTAAGCTGTGAAGTGAGGAGGCAGCACCCAGTGGGGGGGAGGGGGAGAACGCGGGGTCCCAGTTCCCGATTGTCTGCACCCCGGTCAGGTCATCCTGCCGGCTTGGCCCGTGTGCGAGCTCACAGGCTCTTCCTGAACGAAACTCACACTGACCTCTTACAGCTGCTGTCTTCTCAGACTCGGCATCCAGGTGGTGGCCTGTCTGGAAGAAAGGACATGTCAGCAGTTATTCTGCACGACACAGGGGGAGAAAGCCTTACGCAGACGACTAGCTCAGGAAGGAAGCAGGCCCACCCCGCTCCCTGCAGAAAGTGCACTCCAGGGTCACACCCTCTCCTCCCCACGAGTGGGAAAACGCGGACAGGACCGCCCTCTGCCCACGAGCCTCAGGGGAGTCAGGATTCGCTCTTAGGGATTAAGGTGCAAGGACACATTTCCGTTTCCTTTACTCAAATTATGCGTCCAAACGGGGGACTGTGATCAATGTGTTTTAGCAACTTCTGTTAAAAGGGGGGAAGGGAGGGCAGCTGGACGGCGAAGGCCCAGGAGAAATTCTCTCCATGAGGTCCCGCCCACGCCGTGCCAGAGCTGGTCACGGAGCTGCACCTGGGCCCTGACTTAGTCACCCAGGAATTCAGGTCGGGCTGGAACCTGAGTCCCCTGCACCACCGGGCAGACGAGCCGTCCTCCTGGGTCCTACAGTCTCACCCGGCTTGTAAGAGGGGATGCGGCCAGGGCAACTGAGCGGGGCGGCCCGGTGGCCCCCGATCAGTTGAACAAGTGCAACTGCTGGGGCTTCAAGGACGGTTAGAGTTGACTCCAGCCAGCAGCCCGGATCTTGCTTCCTCTCAGTCACTTCTGCTGGGGAAGGGGCCCTGAGTGCAGCGTTGCTGTGATCTCCCCCTTCCCCTCTCCAGGGCGTCCTCCACGGATTTGCACCGGCCACCCCCCTGCCTGGAAGACCCCTGCTCTCTGTTTCTCTCTCCGGTGAACTTCTATGTACACGTCAAGACCTAATTCAACTGCCCCTCCTCTGGGAAGTCTTCCCTGACTCCACCTGGCAGAGTTCAGCCACCTCCTGCTCACATAGCCACTCCACGCTGCACTGTGACAGCTGGGCTCTGTGACTGTCCCTCTAGAAGGGGTTGATGGCTCCACTGACTAACACACAAAGGCATGGATTATGGCTCAACCCTCTTCTGACACTCATGCAAGCACACCACCACAACGGGGAGCCTTCCGTACGAGGCGCAGGCCTGCTCTCTTAGAGTACTCTGCATAGATCCCCAGAATACTGTGTCTTCAAGTACCAGGACCACTCACACCCCCGTGCCTTTGCACATGCTGGTCTCCCAACCCCGAGGGCCTTCACTCCATCCTTCCAGCTATTAAAACACTTTTCTTTATCCTTCAAGGCCTAGTTTGGCCCCTTCCTCCTCCAGGAAGTCTCCTTCCCACCCACCCCCTCCTCTCTGCTCACCCCGGTGCCTCAGAGCAATACTTTTCCTTGCACCTGGGTTTAGAGTTCGTCTCATTAGCTGCAGACTCCTTCATCGTAAGGATGGGGCGTCACTGACCTCTGTATCCACAGGCAGCCTCATATGCACTAAACTGGCTCCCGGGGGGACCCCGCATTTAATGTGTGACGCTGGACCTCATTTACCCCCGGGGAGGCTCAGAGCCGGGATTTCTCAGGGGGAAGCCTGGCTCTGCCGCTTGCTGGTTCCCAGGTCTCGGCCAAGCCCGCTGAGCTCTCTGAGCCTCGCCTCTCCGTCTGCCGAGCGGAGACACTCACACACTCCCTGCGGGGTTGTGTCAGGAGAAGACAAGAACGAATGTCCACTAGATGCTGCCCACGGAGCGGCAGACAGAAAAAGCCTCGCCCAGCACACTCTGCTCCCCCGCCTCTCTCCCCACGTAAACTTTTGGGGGAATACTCTAAACTTCACGAAAGGCAGGAGCTAAAGAGAAAATAATTGCCTGGCTCCTTGGGGGCCCGGGCTTGGGGTCGTAATTTAATGAATTAGGGGAGTTCAGGGCTCTGAGCCTCGCTGCTGCTTTTTAAGATGAGATTCCATCTCTGAAGGGCCATCTATAGGCCGGGTTCACTGACACCCGCAGGAGGCAGCATGTTCCAGGAGGTGGAGGGAACAGGAAGGAGCAGAGCGACAGGAGGTGAAATGGGGGCTTCCTTCTGGCTCTCCCGAATCTTCCCGAGGCTGGGGTGCAGACAACTTCGCTGCTGGTACCCCAAGCCCCTGGGGAACAAAAGTTTGGTTTTGCTTAAAGGGCCCCCAAATCCTCTTTGAGCACCTGCACGTGACGGTGCTGTGCCGGGTGTTTGACACGGGGTCTGGTTCAAACCTCGCAGAGCCCTACAGGAGGAAGCGCGCCACCCCCCACTCCGGGCCTAGGAGGGCGGGGGCCTAGGGAGGTGAAGGCCGAGCACCAGGCCCAGGCTGGCGATTCTTCCAGACCTGGGGTGTCTTTGTCTGCCGGGTGCAACTCCGAGCCTGGAGAACGGACAGTGACCCTCATGTCCCAGGGTCTCAGGCAGGGCCACCCATCAAGATCTCTGATGGGACCTTCCCTTTGCTGAGCAGACCCCAGGCTGGACCTGGGGGAGGTCGTCCAGTTACGGGCAGGAGGGCGTGCTGCCACGGTAACCAGTGCCGTCTCCAGGTGGGCCCTGGCACCCCCTCCTCCTCCCCGTTGGCACCCCAGCTTCTGCCTCTGAGGAGGGGACGAGATAGCCAAATAGGAGTAACAAAGGAAGGCGTCTCTTTCTCAGCTTGTGACTGTCAGCAGCCTCGGTCCAGAAAAAATAGGCCCCCTGGGGCTGGGGTAGGGGAGGCAGCGGACGGGGCCCTGAGCCCTGCCTACTCAAGGCATGTTTGGCGGATGGAGTGGATGGAGAACCCCCAGAGAGGGTTTAGGAGCCTAAGAACCGAAACAACCCGCCCTCTCCCTGCTCCCACCTCCAGCTAAAGCAAGGAGGGGGCAAGAGCCCCGTGTTTCCAGCTGAGCACAGTGGGGGAGCGGGCCAAGCGGGCCTCGTGGCATTCCCCCCACCCCTAGAACAGATGCCTGAGCTGGAGAGGACGGGCAGAGCTGGAGGAAGGACACCTGGGCGGATGCAAGGACACTGTGGGACGCTGGGGGCCAGAGATGCCGAGGGAAGGGCGACAGGTCAGTGGACGCCAGCAAGGTAGACGGCAGCCCTGAGGACTGGGCAGCCCCTACGTGTCCATCCTGTCCTGCCCAGTGCTAAGCTCCGAAGATCTGTGTCCTTCCGAAATTCACATGCTGAGATCCTAGCCCCCATGCTATGGTGAGGCCTTGCGAGGTGACTAGGTCATGAGGACGGAGCCCCCTGATGGGATCAGTGCCTTTATAAGAAGAGACACAAGAGCTTGCTTCCCTCTCGGCCATGTGAGGACACAGCGAGAAGGTAGCCATCTACACACCAGGAAGAGGGCCCTCACCAGAACGCAACCACGTGGGCACCCTGATCTCAGACCTCCGGCCTCCAGAACTGGGAGAAACGAATGTTTGTTGTTTAGGGCCCCAGTCTGTGGCATGCTTGTTCCAGCAGCCTGAACGGACTAAGACACTCAGACACAACCTTGAGGAAGGGGCACAGGAACCCAGCTGACAGGGGCTCCATTCCCATCACCCATCCCCCCACCCAGGGCGAGAAGAAGAAGAAATCAGTGGGAGGTGGTTACTGACCCTGAGTGACCAGCTGTGGGTGCAAGCAAGCACCCTGCTCCTCATAGGACAGGAGCTCAGATGGACCCGACTCCAAACCCCAGCCTGCCGCCCCCAGGCGTGACCTCGACCAGCTCTGACCACTCGGATCCTCAGTCTCCTCCTTGATAAAGTGGGCTGTTGGGAGGATGAAGTGAGTTAACTCGTGGAAAGTGCTGGCCAGGGAAGGGCTCTGTGAGTCTGGCCACCATCACCCCTTCCAGTAAATAAACGAATGGCAGCCGACCCCCGACCCCAGCCCACAGCCTGTCCACCCTCCCTCAGATGTCCTTGGCTAGCGGGAGCCCCTCCCAACAGCAGGGGCCAGAGAACATGAGCCACCTGGGGTCTCCAGAGATGTTTCTGGGAGGCCTCACCTCGCAGGAATGCCAGCCTCTCTGCCGGCCTCGGTGCCCCCAGGACCCGTCCCTCTCTGCTCTGGCACAGCCCATCTAGGCCCGTGAGTATCCTCCCCAGCCGGCGAGCAGCCCTCCTGGGCTCCACGCCAGGGCCCAGAGCCTCCCTCAGGAGTTCCATCTGCGTCCTCTGAAAGGACAGTCAGCGCCCGTACAACCCACTTCCTGCCAGCTGCCAGCGGGCGCAGCTGCCACCAGCGCCATGAGGGTCTCGGTGCCCCCCCAGGGCTTTTCCCCAAGGCCCGGGCCTCAGGTCTTCATGGCCGAGTCACTGGGCTGTTGAAACAAAGGGGCTGCGATGGACACGGCCGCCTGGGGCTCTGCTGCTCAGTCTAGTCCACACACAGCTGCAGGTCCGTCTTCCTGAAGCACGTGGATCCTGCTCTGACCCCTCCAGCTCCCCATCGGCTACAGAACCAAGTGTGAATGACGTCCTGTCCAGTACCCCGCCGCTGCTCCCCTCGGGACGCCCACTCCAGCCAGCCCGGAGCCCTCTTGGTTTCTTAAAGACATCACAGGTTTTCTCACTGCCTTATATCTGCACACTGAAGATCGGCCTTCCGGGGACAAGAGGGACTGACTCATCGGGGGCCTGGTATGTGCCCGACCGTGGGCTGCTGCCCACATGCCTGCCAGCGCCGCACAGCACACATTCCTCCCCGCTTCTCACGGGGGTCGTGGTCGCTGTGGCTGTCTGTGTGCAGAATCCGCTGCCAGCTTTAGATCCCAGCTCTGCTGAGCTAAGTGACTTACATAAAAGTCTGAGCTAGAACGAGCATCCTTGGGCAAGACTTGCCAGCTCTTTGAGGCTCGGTTTTCTCATCTGGAAAAGGGGATGATGACAGTGCCTTCCCCGTGGGAGGACCATCTGAGTCAGTTACAGCAAGCACACAGAATGCCTGCCCTCGGTGGGGCAGGAAGGGGTCCCTGTCAGTGTCCCCTCCAAGGCCGTAGGGCTGGACAGTGGCAGAGGTAAGGTTAGAAACCAGGGCTCGCTGACATCAGGGTCCACCCTCTCGACAGCTGCCCACACGAGGACCAGGCTCCTATCATGGGGGACACCCTGGCTGCTCTCACGTCTTGACCGGCCTGGTCCTCCATTTCTCCCCAGGACTCCAGCCTCGCCTGGGTCACGGCAGGAGGTGCTCAATAAATATCTGTGGGATGAAATGGCAGAGCCGGGTTTTTGTTGTTTGTGGCAAGAATGGTGAGGGGTCCCCCAGATCATAAAAACAGGGGTGTTCTTGGAAAGCTGAACTGTAAAATCATGCGAAATGAGTCAGAGCAGATGCAAAGTCACCTTAAAAGGAGAGAATGGAAGCTCATAAACGCCCATGGCCTTTCAAAAGGCCTCGGGGAGAAAAGACACCATGGCCCAGGGGGACGTATGTCCAGGCCTAGGAGCACATCCTTAGAGGGACGGAACGAATCAGGCCAATGGCACCATTAACTCTCTCCCCAGTCTCATTCCAGGCTACCAAATGACCTTCGGATTATAAATGTTTATTGACGAACAAATGAACAAATGAATGAATGAATGAGTGAACCTGACTCTCCAGACAACTCCACTAAAGGGGGAGGATATGACATTGTTTCATCCATTCATCCAATCCTTCAGCCTGCACATAGTTCTATTTCTCATAGGAAATTAATAAATGAACGTTCAGGTTTATACATCAGTCCTGTGAATTTGGTCATTGTAAGTCAGCCTGTCCAATCCCAGTGAACATTTCTGTCCCAGTTTCAGAGCCTGTAAGACTGGTGAGCAGCCCATGGAGGCTGGGCTCTCATTGCTGTGATGTCCTCTCTGCAGACAGCCGACCAGCCCACCTGGGTGATACCTTCTGCCTCCAACACCCTGGAACTTTGTTCTCAGTCCTGACTCACTCAACACACAGGGACTGTGCCAGGCTCCTGAACAAGGCGCTGACCTCTTTACTCATCCCTGCTCCTGCTCTGAAGAGGCCTGAACCCCTCAGGCAGAGACGAGCACTGGACTGGGAGTCTGGGACTCCGGATTCCAATTCCAGCTCTGAATCAAGTCACCGTGTGGCCCTGAGCAGACCCCTTGGCCTCCAGGTCTCCACCTCCATGGCCGTGTGGTGCTCTGGGCCAGGGGACATCTAGGACTCTCTGAAGGCTGAGGAGGAAAAGACGGGACAGAGCAGGTCCCCTGGCAGAGGCCGGGCTCAGGGGCCGAGAAGGGAGGAGCAGAGTTGGTGCGGAGCCCAGACAGCAGGAGCCTGGAGAAGGCCGGCTGCATCTCCAGCACGAGCGGCATCTGCCCTCACACAGCAGGAGCCCAGCTAGTCTGGGGGGCGTTGCTGGCTGGTCCCCAGGAACGAGGTTGCGAGCTCAAGTGTGAGTGTGCATGTGCATGCACGTGTACATGTGAGTATGTGTGTGCGCATGCGTGTGGGCAGGCTCGGCTGAGCACCCATGGGTGCTGCGCACACAGACTCCAGGCACTGCTGTTCAGAGCCAGGCAGAGACCTTTACCAGACCTGGGTCAGAACTGGCATCCATCACCCCAAACTACCTGGGGGCTGTGTGACCTTGAGTGAGCCTCCCAACCTCTCTGAGCCTGTTTCCTCTTTTGTTGACCGTTAGGAGAGGAGATCCTTATTCATTCAGTTCATTATTTCATTCAATCAACAGTATTCTGAGCAGCTTCTCCATACCAGGCACCAGGGAGACAGGGATGGTTATGGAGCAGCTCCAGCCCCAACAGAGAGGCTGACAAACTCCCCCAACAGTAGGGGGAAAATGCCCCCTGTGTGCCACGTCGCGCATGCCCATGTGGCCGGGAGGACAGAGCGGGGTGTAGCCAGCTCTGAGGTCCGTGGGACTCAGGGCAGACCCCCTGGGCAAAGTCACACTTGCACTGTGCCCTGAGGATGGACGGGAGGCCGTGGGGCAGACGAGAACCCTGCCAGAGGCAGCAGCACGTGCTGAGGCCCGAGGCAAGCAGGAGGGAGCCGTCTGGTGAAACGACACTGCCGGGCTTTCGGACACTCAGTGAAGGTCGTTGTCAGTGCGTCTGTCTCCAGTATTATGCTGTGAACTCTTTAAGAGCGAGGACGGCGGGGTCGCCTCCCCACACCAGCCCCGAGCACAGACCCTGGCACACAGGAGTGCAGGGCGTGCCCGGGTGAGGTCAGTGGACAGAGGGAGCCAGGGACGGTTCAGGTCAGGCAGGTGGACGGGCGGGTCAGGTGCCGTGGACCCTGCAGGAAGAGGGCCAGGGCTGTCTGGGGAATCTACCTGTGGGACCCCGGGAGCCAGGAAGGTGGCCGCATACTCGGCCAGCGCCGCGTCGTTCACCATGCTCTGCGCCGTCTCGGAGAGCAGGCGATCCAGCGCCCCGTGTCTGTGCAGCTCCCGCAGCAGGCGCGTGATCACGTGGTTTCTCTCCCGGCACTTCTGGACCAGAGAAGCCAGCTTGGCCTGAAAGGTGGGAGCGAAGACATAGCCAGGTGGGTGCATGGATGCAGGGCTCCCCCAGGGGCCGAGGGCTGAGCTGGGGGCTGGGGCGACGGCTCCCTGCTCTGCATCTCCCAGCACCGCCTCAGCTCGACCACCTCGGCTCGGCCACCTCCCTGTGACCCCTCCCTCCACTCGGCATCCGGAGGCAGCTCTGAAAACAAGGGGCCACACTGCTGCTCGCCCCAGTGGCTCCCCACTGCCCTCAGATGGGGCCCAGCCTCGGGCAGCAGAAGGTCAAGAGCGTGGACTTGGCCTCCGCCGCTGACCAGCTCTGTGACCAAGCTCCTCTCTGCACCTCAACTTGCTCATCTGTGCAGTGGGCATTGTTAAGGGCCCAAGACAAGAGGAGACGGTGCCGGCACAGCCCTCACACCGGCCAGCCCACGCAGGCCCTCGGACGATGCCGGCCATGACTGCCAGCTGGGTACAGCAGACTCTCAGGCTCGTCCCTGCACCTCTCCTGCCCCGTCCCAAGGACCCTCCTTCTCACTCCTCCTGTTTCAGCCACACGGGCCCATTCCCCACCTCCAACACCCTGGAACTTCCTCATCACTCCTTTGTGTCTCCTACACGTCCAAGTCCAGAAAAGCCTTCGTTAGATCTGTGCAGAGGCCACCCCGGCATCACCTCCCTGGGCAGGCCTCCCTGATGCTCAGGGCTGATGTCCCTCTGTGCCCAGACTTCTGGCTTCCCTCTATCCCAGCATGTGATTTTTATATTTGTGGGTCTGTCTCCCACATCAGCTGGGAGCGTCTCAAGGTCAAGGCTGACCCTCCCCTGGATCCCTGGCACTGTCACTGTGCCATCGCTGGGCACAGCATGGCCCTTGGGAGGTGTAATTATATGAATGACGCGAGTGAGTGACGCACTTGCCATGAAATGACCTCCCATGTGTGCGCATGTCTGGAGGGGGTGACAGACTCTTGTCATCCTGCAGGTGGCCCTGGGCTGGCTGCTTCCCCCCGTGTGCCCTCCTGCTCTGTCGGAGGAGGGGGTGATGGTCCCTTCCTGCCGGGACTACCTTCCCAGCCCGTCCCAGAGGCTTAGCGATGCTCACATGTCGGTTTCCAGTGGTGCCTGGTGCCCAGGAACGGCAGGTGGGCAGGACGGGAGGGGGTCTGACTGGGAGGCTGGGGCACCCAGCACATCTGGGTGGGGCTCCCCAGACCCCCTGGATCACACTGCCCCAAAACGTCGGGGCCTCATCCCCCCAGCCAGCATTAGATGAACACGTCCTACGTGTGGCTCCCTCCTGAGGAGAAGGCCATTGTTAATGGTGACAATGACTCTACTGGGCTCTTTATAAATCTTACGTCACGAGAGACAGTGTGGCTGAGGCGAAGGTCACAGCCTTGGGCATCAGACAGAGCTGGGCTCAATTCTTGGCCCTGCGACTGAGTAGCTCTGTGGGACTATGGTCAAGTCACTGCATTTTTCTGAGCCTCAGTTTCCCCATCTGTGAAGTGGGGCTCCTGTTCCCCTTACTGACGTGTTGTTGTGGAACTTAAAACAAAATACGTGTGGAGTGCCTGGCCCGTGGCAGGCATTCAGTAGACGGCAGCCATCATGTCACGAGTCCTCACAAAGCCTTCCCTGCCAGGCTAGGAATCCCATTTGTTGATGAGGAAATTGAGGCCTAAGAGGTGAAAGGTCGCCCCGAGGAGCGGCTGGACACACCCAGGTCACCGTGGCCGCTCCCCGTCCGGTCCCACCTCGTCTGGGCCAGGCCTCGCCTCATGTGAACGACGTGGTGCCGGTGCTGTGTTTTCACTTTTATCTCGCATTTGTAACGCACTTTACAGTTTACAAGGGACTATGGTCCTCTTTTAAGCAAATGCTGCCATCGAGGGAGGAGCACGAAAGGCTCGTGTGCGCCAGAGCGTCCCAGTTCCCTCACTGTCCACCGACAGCGTCCGGGGCGCCGCGGAACAGGCCGGGGGAGCAGCCCAGCGGATTCACCACGACTTCATCTCACAGACACAAACCTGAGGCTCAGGCAGCCGCGGGATTCCGGGCTTAGGGATGGTGTGGCTCACGGCCCCGATTTCACAAGTGAGGAAACTGAGGCTGCGGAGGGGGCGGGACTCGGTGGGCCTGGGATCCTGAGGCTTGACCGTGTCCGTCTAACTCCCAGCCCAGGGCCCTCCCCCTCTACCCGGCCGGGGGATAGAAAGAAAGGGCAGGCCCTGCAGGCCCACATCCCAAATCCAGGCGCCATATGTGGGAGTGAACATGTCATCTCAACCAAACTACGCGTCCAACTAGCGACGAACATATCAGCCCCGCGGGCCAGTCACGCCAGGCCTGGGAACTGGTCCCAAAGAAACGTCTAGATATGCAGGGAGAACTTTCTAATAAAAAATTTGCATTGTGGTGTTTTTATACAATACTGTAAAAGAGAGAGAGAGAGAGGGAGGGAGAGTGGACAGACAGACTGGGGCACCAGCAAGTGGGTGGTGGAATCGCATGCTTTGTACTCCAGCACGAACAGCAGCTTCAAAGGTTGGTCAAGATGGGACAGCCCTTCCAGGTGACACTCTCAAGAGGAAAGCAGGACACCGACATGTGGAGACACATGTGACAACATACTGGAAGAAAATACATAGATTCAAATGGGGATCTGGGGTGCTTTTTGTCTCTTTCATTCTTCTTTTCAGTATTTTTATACAATAGAGATGGATTACACCTGTAATGGGAAAAACACGGAGGTTTTTTTTGAAAGAGACATTTCATATTGATTTCACAAACATATTACCTTCAGAGGAGTCACAGCCAAATTTGCTTCGTGTTGCTTTTTCTGAAGTTCTTCAAGCTGAAAGAGAACCACATTTTTGATAACCCTGAGCCATCGTTTGCACAGCTCGGTGCTTCCCCAGAGAGGTTGGCCCTTGTCTCCTCTCTCCTCCCACAGGGAGTTCTCAGCGCCGGGAACAGGGGCCTTCCCCATCACCTGCTTGGCAGGGTCAGGGCAGGAAGGATGCTGTGAGCACTGGAGGATGAGCTCTGCCGGACTGCCCTTGCCAGGCTGGCTCGGTCGCCTCTGCCTTCAGGAAGGAAGCCTTCCGGGATTGCCCACACACGTGTGGCGGAGTTTTTTGGTGTGGTGTCAAACCTATGGGTCCCCAGGCCAGACACCCTGGGTCCTAATCCAGCCCAGACACTCACTGGATCTGTGACCTGTGCAAGTCGCTTCTCTCTCTGCCTCAGGTTTCCCTTCTGGAAAGTGGGGTAATATTCCTGCCCACCAGATGCTGAGGATTGTAATGAGGATTCAGTGAAATGATTCCTGTAAAGTGCTTAGAACAAGGCCTGGCATCCAGTCAACACTCAACGGACATAAACTATCATTACCGTCAGGGTCGGAGGCGCCAAGCGCGTGAGCGAAGCCACCGTGGACCTTCCAGCCTGGCCCAGTGCCCAGCTGAGTACCACGGAGCGGTCCCCACTGATGCTCCGCGGAGCAGAACTGCCCAGCCGAGTCCTGCCTGAATCCTGAGCCACCAAATCCTGAGATATAATCCGGTGGGTGTCCTCTGAGTTCCTCCCACTCTCCTGCTCCCTCTGTAGGCAGCACACGAAAGCTACACAGACAAACGCCTTCTTCCTCTCGTCCAACCTCCTCTGATCTCTAACACCTCTTTCAGCCCTACATACCCGTGATCAGAATGCATATGTGTGTATATCTACATAGGAAACTATGCATACCAAATGTTTTGTCATTTAATTTAAAATCATGATGTTATTTCCTTATCAACTCATACAAACTGATTGCATTCTTTTAAAATCTTGCATATTATTTCATTATGTGGCTGAAAGATGATTTATTTAACCAATCTTTGTTTATGAAAATTTATAGTTCCTGTTCCTTTGCTTTAGAAACAAGGCTTCAATGAACATTTCTATATATCTATTTTGGCATACCTTTCTGAATATATTCAAAGAGTAAGATGCCAGCTCCAAGCAGACTGTCTTATATTTGAAGCCACGCCATAATATCTGCAGGCTTGGAGTAAATCCTCTCTCTGCTTCCGTTTAGGAAAGATCGTGAATATATTGCTGTGAACTGTGTCCTGGGGCATTTGCAATTAAAAAACAAATAAGAAGAAAGTGAAAAGAACAGAATGGGAGAAAGTATTTGCGAGTCGTATATCTAATAAGGGATTTGTATCTAGAATGTACAGCAAACTCTGACAACACGACAACAAAAAACAAGCAACCCAACTACAGAATGGATTAAGAATCTGAATAGACATTTCTCCAAAGAAGATATATGAATTGCCAACAAGCACATGAAAAGATGCTTGACGTCATTAGCCACTAGAGAAATGCAAATCAAAGCCACAGCGAGATTCCACTTCATCCTCGCTGGGGTGGGTATCGTCAAAAAGACAGAGAACAGCGAGCGTTGGCAAGGACGTGGAGAAGCTGCACCTTCATCCTCTGCTGGTGCGAATGTGAAAGGGAGCCATGGAGACAGACCCTAAAGTAACTGATTAAAATGCTCAATAATTACATTCTAAGAATTTCATCCTAGAACTAGAAACTATAAAAAAAAATCAAATGGAAATTCTAGGACTGCAAAAGACAGTAACTGCAGTTAAGAACTGAAATAATGGGTTTAAGATCAAATTAGACTCAGCTGAAGAGCATCATGTAACTGAAAGACAGAAATAGCCAAGCTGAAGCACAGAGAGAAAAAAAGAATAAAAATGATAAAAAGCAGACTTAAAATATATTGGATGTGGTAAAAAAAAAAAAGGCCCCACATGTGTAATTGGAGCTATATTTTTCGTAGATCAGTGACAGACGGGAGGAAAAGTCATAACACCTCCATGCTGGCTGAGGACACAGTGAGAAATACTCCCTCATTCACTGCAGTGGCTTCAGAAGTGGGTGCCAACACTTTGGAAAGCAAATTTGCAATATGTATGAAGAATCAACCATATCCTCACCCTTCGAATCAGTAATCCCAGTTCTCTGAACTATTATATATAAACAGGAATATATCAATTAATTGAAATAACTACAGATCCAAGAATAAGGGAATGGGGATCACACCCACCCAACACATGACTTCACAGCCAAAAGCAGAATGGACACAAAGGCCAGGAAGCAACAAGGACAAAAGATATAAATCTCTATGTATCTCATCCTCGATCACACAGAAAATGCACGGGGAAGGAGTCAGAAATCACATGAAAATGGGGATGGTGTATTTTTCATCCATCAGCTTGTCAAAAAAATGTAAAGTGTGGTATCACTCAGGGCAACAAGTGGGCAAACAAGCAGATCCCTTTCTTTCTGGTGAGTGTATAAATGATGCAACCATTTTGGAGGGCAATTTGCCATTATCTATCAGAGTTAATTACGTATGTATCTTTTGACCCAGTAATTCTGGTTTTTTTTTGTGTGTGTGAGGAAAATCAGCCCTGAGATAACATCTGTGCCAATCTTCCTCTATTTTACGTAGGATACGGCCACAGCATGGCTTGATAAACAGTGCTAGGTCCACGCGTGGGATCCTAACCTGTGAAGCTCAGGCCGCTGGAGCAGGGTGCACGAACTTAACCACCATGCTACCGGGCCGGCTCCGATCTAGTAATTCTTTTGCTAGGACTTTTCCCTTTGCATATGCGGCAGAAACATATCCCAAGACAGAGGTGTAGAAAGGTCCACTGAAGCCTTGATTGTAATAAAGCAAAGAAACAGAAACAATTTCGATTTCCATAAATGAACAATTGGTTAAGTCAGTTACGATTCGGCCTCATGAAGAAATAATATGCAAGATTTTAAAAGAATGAGGTCAGCTTGTATGTGTTGATATGGAAATATCACCAAGATTTTTTATTAGATGGTAAAACCAGGATGCAGAATATTTTTATTTGGTATAATTTCATGTACGTACACACACGCGTACACTGACTGTGGGTAGATTGGGTTGAAAAAAATACTGGGGTCAGAAGGGTTGGGGTTGAGGAGGAGGAATGACTATTTTTAAAAAATTGAGATAATTATAGATTTACAGACAGTCATAAGAAACAATACAGAGAGATCACGCGTATACCTTGCCCGGCTTCCCCCAGTGGGAACTTTTTGTGAAACTACAGTATATTACAACCACAGAATGTCGATTATATTGACCTTGATACGATCTACCAATTTTATTCAGACTTCTCCAGTTTCACTTGTTCTTATTTATGTGTGTGCGTGCGTGCACGTGCGTGTGCATGCCCTAAGTTCCATGCGAATTTATCATCTATGTAGGTTCACGTCTCCATCACCTCTGACAAGATGCTCAACAGTTTCGGCTCCACGAAGACCTCTCTTGTTGCCCCTTTATCATCACACCCACTTCACTCCTACAGAGGAAGGACTTTCATCTATGTAACATTTGAAAAACGCTTTGACTTTCTAAACAACCATATACCTGTATTAATATGTTCTGACTTAACCGAGGTCAGCTGGATGGAGGAATTAAAGGCTTGTTTTTCTTCCCTGCACTGTTCTGTGCTTTAGAAATCTAGTAAATCCCAGCAGACTGCTGGAAACGGTCAGCGGGGTCTTGCCTGATTCTTTTTCTGCTCTCAGGACTTCCTGGAGCGGGGGGAGCATCCGTTTACAGGCGGGTAAGGCAGTGCGGCCCACCTACCTGGCCCGTGAGCTCGGCCCGAAGGTGGACGGCCTCATGCAGAGACGCCTGCAGCCCGCGGTGCGCGGAGCCCTGGTCCCTGAGCTGGCACCGCAGCGTCCGCACCTGGTGATGGAGCTGCCTGACCTGCAGCCTGAGGGCCTCCTCGGAAGTCTCAGCCTCCGGGTCCTGGAGCTGTGGACATAACAGATGTGAACAAAACTCCTGTGTTATCTTGCAAGTAATTTGCCTTAGCAAACAAACAATACCCGTTTGCCTTCTTAATCTTTTTTCCTGCTTACATTTTTCTCACGGTAAAAAAATTTTAGAAAATTAAGAGAAATCACCCCAAATCTTATTGGCCAGCATAATCATCGTTATTATTCATAGATTTTCTCCCGGCCTTTCTACCGTGCCCTTAGGCATGTGCACACGTGAGCGTGTGGCCTGTGCTGGGTTTCTTGTGGGTGAGAGGAAGTCTAGGAAATCACTGAATAATATTCTAGAATATTATTTTAAAAATATGCAAATGGCATGGCATTCCAGAGTCTGTTCTAATAGACGTCAGTCACCATTATACTGAAACACAGCATGATGAATGAAATTTAATGTTCAAATCCAGTTATGAGGGTATTATTCCATTAAAGCTTCACATAAAACAGAAGATACTGCATTTTCCCAAACAGCTTTCTTAAATCAGTACAGAAGAGCCGGTGGGATATGAGTGGGCTTCATGTCGACGCCCACAGGGAATTCCTGGGAGGCAGAAGGTGAGGGGAAGAGGCTGACGCAGCCGATTTAGTGGGAAGTGTGGTTGACTGACAGCAATGCTGCTGCCCCCAATGGTGCTGGAGTCTATAAATTTTTATTTTTTAATAACTTAAATACATACGCAGAGGCATGTGTATATATATATATATATATATATATACATATACACACACATATATACCTTTTCTCTATGATATTTAATATACCATACCCATCTTTTGTCTCCTGCTTTGCCCCCTTGACCCCACATCAGGGGCATTTTTCCATATCATTAAACAATGTTGAAAGCACCGTCGTTAGGACACACGTAGCATTCCATGGCATGCGGAACGCTCAGATTATTCCAACATTTGGCTGCGATAATTGAGGCTGGATAAAGACCCTTGATAAAGACACGTGACGCACCTGATTCTTTCCCTGAGATCATCAAAGGGGGACTCTCTGGGTCAAGGGCCTGAGCACCTATCAGCTCTGGACCCGCCCGGTTCAAGGGGCCTACCAAGGAGCGGCATTGCCAACAGGAAGAGTTCCACGGTGACGAGTCAAAGCCCAGAAACTCAGAGACTTCCTCCCTGTGGGGCAGTCTACCTGTCACTCACGGCAGCCCCCCTGGGAGTTTAAGGCCCGCAGAGATCATGGCTTCCACGTGCTTCTGACCTGGTGTGAGCAGGTGGGAGGAGGAGGCCGAGCTATCCCGTTGGAGAGGAGAGAGAAGACGGAGGGGGTGGGAGGGCAGAGCCAACGTGACTCTGTGGCTGATGAGGCATCCTCCTCGTTAGCAAAGAATATGAGAGCAGAACAGGATTTTTTTAATGAACAGAAATGTACAGAGCGTGGGCCCGCAATTGACAGGCTGGGCCCTGTCAAGAACAGATGGGTGCTCCGAATGGTTCCGTAAAACCCAGCTCCGAGACTTGCAAAACAACTTGGCCTTTCAGGGAAGTGTGGCGCCTGTGCTGCCTCCCTCCTCTGCAAAGGTGGGGACAAGGGCTTCGTCCCAAGGGTCCTAAGACAGCGCCCACAGTGGGTTCTGAGAGAATGAAAGTGTGGGTGGGGACCGGCCCCATCTGCCACATGGGACTGCACCGCACAGCGGCCCCTGTGAATGGCCCCAAGACTCACTTGCTCCCTAACAGACATTAGGAGCATGTGCTCCAGCCACACTGTCCTTCGGCTGGGAGCCATGGTGCACACGGCCCTGGGGAGGTCTGTCTGGTGGGGGAGATTGACACAGAAACAGGTCAGTCAACACAGGGTGGTGAGGGGAAGCCAGGAGGCTGCAGGAGACTCAAGGAGGCACTAACCCAGAGACACCATCACCACCCGGCGGTGTGCTGGAGGATGGGTAAAAATGGCTCTCCAGGCTGAGCGCGGGGTACAGGAAGTCGTAGCATTTGCCGATTTCCATGGTGTAAATGCTCCCACCACGGCCAACTGCAAGCCACCAAAATGGCACGACTGAGTCAGACTTGGGGAGAGACGTGCATAAGCCACCTCTACACTGAACCAGTGGGGGGGATTGGGAGGAGGGCCCCCAAAATGAGACCTTGAGGATGAGAGGCCGTTCCCAGGAGAGAGCTGGGGTGGAGGGAGGGGTGAATCAAGGATGCAGGAGTATTGGGGGAAACGTAACAGCAACAGCTGAAGCTCCTGAGGGCCGGATTATAACCCACCAAGAGGAATTCGGATTTCACACCAAGTGCAATAGGAAGATACAGAACACTTACAAGCCAAATAAAAACACGATCAGGTTTGTGACTTAGGATGTCGGACAGGGGAAGCTTTCTCTGCCTCCTGTCCATCAAAAAATCCCACTGATTCCAACTCTAGCTTTTGTCTGGAATCTTCTCTTCTTTCAATTCGAAATTTCTCCACTCCACTCTATGTATTGTCTCTGGGTGGTATGACTACACAATCCTCTCGACTCCTTTTCCAGTATTCACCTGCCCCTTTTCCTCCCAGCAGACAGTGATCTTTTTACAATGGAAATTTAACCACATTGTTCTCCCACTTAAAACCCTCCAACACCTTCCCACTGCTTTCCCACAGGCCTTCTGAGAGCTGCCCCATGACGACTTTTCCAACCTCATCTCACACCGCGCCCCTTCTTTGCCCACCACGACCCAGCCACTCTGGCTCCTTTCTGGTTTTTCAACAAGGCAGGCTCATTCCCGCCTCGGGGCCTATCACTTGCTTCCCCCTCTGCCTGTATTTCTTTTCATCCATTGCTCCTTTTGACCCTTGAAAATCTCAGCTCAATATTCACCTCCTCAGAGTTTCAGTTCCTATGAGGTCTGACGAGCTTGGATCAGACAAATATAAGATCTGGGGGAAGATAAGTACATCAAAGCAATTCTTTGCAGACATTGAATGGCAGCCAATGCAGGGCTACAATCCTTGAGAAAAAGGACACACGACAAGGTGAGCTCCACATTCTCCCTGGATTTCTCTCTGGAACATTTTCCAAACCATGGTTCAGAAGTAGAGCTCCCATTGAATGTGGTGGTCCTGCTGGTGAAGGAATCAGAGGCTGGAATTCAGAGATGCTATGACAGCTGGGGTTTGTGGGACGAAGTAACAGAGAGGAGAGAGCTGCAGAGAAGAAATTCAGACAGCTTCCTAATAATACTCCTTGGGTCCTTGGCTGAATCACAAGCTAGGCAGGACAGTGCAAGACTCAGACCTACCAGAGGACAGCAGCTGGGAAGTCAGATGCTAAAGAGATTTCAGAGGTCCAGCACTGCTGCGAAGATGGCAGAGTTCTGACTGAGCCAAAGCACAGAGTCCGTGGTGAAGGCTCCGGGAACTCAGCTGATGCCACTGAAAGGCTGTGCCCCGGGAGCAAGGACCACACTTCAGCAACAAGATCGAGACCTGGGATCAAAACTGAGTACACCTGCACGGGAATAGCAAGATCTGCTGGTCATTCCACAACCTGCCAGATGAAAACTCGCCCAGGATTCTTTAGAGGAGAACAATATCAGGAACCTCTACCAACAGATCCTACGGAACGTCCAACACAAACATTCTTAAAAATTACTAGACACACAAAGAAGCAGGAACACAGGACTTAACCAAGAAATAAACTAGGCAATAGAAACAGACTGAGAGATGATCCAGATATTGCAGTAAGCAGATAAGACCTTAAAATAACTCTGATTATATATATATATTTAAAAATATAGGCAATATAGACAAAACGGAGGAAAAGATGGAATATTTCAACAGAGAATCAGAATCTCTTTCAAAAGATAAAATGGGCATTCTAGAACTAGAAAATACAATAATTCTGAAATTAAGAACTCGTTGGATGGATTTATCAGAAGATAGGCACAGCAGAACACAGAATCAGTGAACGAAAGACAGGTCAGTAGAAGACCCAAACTGATGCACAAAGAGGAAAAAAAGGAGAAACTAGAACAGTTTCCAAAGATGTGGAATGTCGTCAAAAAATCTGAATTTCTAGGCGAGGAGAGAAAAATAGAACAAAATATTGAAGGAAATAACGACCAAGAATTTTCCAAATCTCATAAAAGACATGAATCTAGAATTTCAAGAAGCACAGAGGAAACGAAGAGGATGAACACACATAAAACCCCACAAGGTGCGTCACACTCAAGCTGCCCGGACCCAAAGACACAAAGGAGGTCTTAAAAGTAATCAGAGATAAAATGACAGCTCTTTCAGAAAAAAAAGACAGAAACAACCAATTTCTGAACAGAAACAACGTCACAAAGTAGAAAATGGAATGAGAGCTTTAAAGTGCCAAAAGAGGAGGAATATCTGCCTGCCTAAATTTCTGAATCCAGAGGGAAAAAAAAATCTTTTAAAAGTGGAGGTAACTGTTTTCATGAAAAGAAATATGAGAGAACTCATCACCAGCAGGCTCTCACTACAAGAAATAACAAAGGTCTTCAGGCAGAAGTCAAACTTCCTAGAAGTGGAAGAAAAAGCAAAGAGCACAAGAACACGCAGAGATACGGGTAAACATAAAAGATCCCTGATCGTTTAAAACAACGATAATAGCAGCGCCTTGTAAGGTACATTACACACAGAAGCAACACACACGACAAAAATAAACAATAACGAGAAGAAAGGGAATAAACAGAATTAAACTTTGAAAAGATTTTTGCATTATTTGGGACATGGGAAAGTGCTAAGTAAGGTAAATTTTAATAATTAATAGATACATTTTGAAATTTCTAGGGTAACCACTAAAAGAATGATACTAAAATATATAACAAAATAAGCTGATAGAAAAGAAAACGACTAATAGAAAATAGTTTATTAGTACCCAAAAAAGGGCAGGAAAGGAGAAATAAAGAAATAGCAAGAAGGTAGACATCAAGCCAAGTATATCATTACGTGTATGAAACGTAAATGGACCAGACACGCCACCTACAAAGCAGAGGTCGTCAAATATAGAGATATGGGTACAGTGAAAGCAGAAAGAAGGACGGTATAAAAAGCTGTACACGTGAAAATACTAATGAAGGGAAACTGACGTGCCTCCTTTAAGACATGCACTCCTTGTTTCATTGCACTTTGCTCTACTATGTTTCACAGATACCGAGTTTTTTACAAGACCCTCCACCAGCAAAAAGATTATGACTCGCTGGAGCCTCAGGTGACGGTCAGCATTTTTTAGCAGTAAAGCATTTTTTAACTGAGGTACATCCATTGTTTTTTAAGACATAATGCTATTGCACACTGAGTAGACTACACTACAGTGTAAACATAACTTTCACATGCACTGGGAAACCAAAAAATTCATGTGACTCGTTTTACGTGATATTCATGTTATTTTGGTGGTCTGGAACCAAACCCACAACGTCTCCAAGGTACGCCTGCATCAGACAAAGCAGACTTTAGGGCAAGAAGTGTGAGTGATAATGAGAGATATTTCATCACGATAGAGGAGTCAATCCAGCAGGAATACATAATAATGCTAAATCTGCATGTATTCACGTATAATTTCAAAGTATATGAATCAAAACTGACACAACAAAAAGAAGAAATAAACATACTCAGAGTTGGAGATTTCAAAAGACATCTTGGAAAATGACAAAACAAATAGACAACACATCAGCAAAGATATAAAAGATCTGATTAGCACAATTAACCAGCTTGGCCTAATTAACACTCAACAATCACAGAGTATTCATTCTTTACAATGGCACATAGGATATTTACCAAAAGTGACCATAACATGGTCAATAAAACATATCTCAACAAATCTCCAAAGATTAAAATAGTATGGTGTATGTTTTCTGGCAACAACGAAATAAAACTAGAAATCAATAACAAAAATTCCACAGATGCTTGGAAATTCAGCGACACCCTTCTAAATAACCCATGGGTCAAGGAGGAAATCACAACGGCAATTAGAAACGACTCTGAACGGAAGAGACACAAAAAGAAGAACATATCAAACGTGTGGGATGCAGCCGAAACAGCGCTGAGAGAGAAACGCACGGATTTAAACGCACAGATCACAAAAGAAGAACAGCTGAAAGTCAATGATCCAAGCTTTCCACACAAGAAGCAAGAAAAAGAACAGCCAATTCAACCAAAAGGAAGTAGGAGAAACGAAACAATGAAGATATAAACGGAAACCAATGGAATAAAATACAGACATACAATAAAGAAAATCAACAAAAGCAAAACAAGATCCTGTGAAATGACTGATAAAATTGTCGAGAGAGGGAGGGAGAGAAGGAGAGACAGAGACAGAAGGGTATGGATGAGCACGAAGGCCTCAGCAATACACATCCCACAGACATTCACACCAGCGTAAGAATATCACCAGCATCTCGTCCTAGGAGCCCTGAAAGTCGAGTGCTGTCCACAGATGAGGAAATGACTCAGAGAGGTCCGTGTCTCGGCCCAAAGTCACATTTGTAGTGAGAGCAGAGCTGGATTTCAACCCTGTTTGACGGAGTTCTGAAGCCTGCTGCTCTTTCCGTTGCAGCTTTCAGGACCCAAGGTGCAGAACAGCAATGTGGGCTGCTTGAAAAACTCCTCGATCTGAAAATACAAGCTCTGCCCTTAAAGGGTGAACCCCTGCTCCAGGTTCCACCAGATACCAGTTGGAACAGCCTAAGTAGAGGGGCAGGCTCCTGTCTTACGTCACAGGTAAGAATGGAGACTCTGGAGCCACCCAGGTAGGAGTCTCAGCGCCAGCCCTCCCAGCTGCTGGACTGTGGGCAAGTCACTGGACTTCTCTGCGCCTGTGTTTTCTCATCTGGGGAGTGGGGATGGAGACAGTACCTCCCTGCTAGGGCTGCTGGAGGATTACATGAGTAAAGGGAGCGGTTGGCCCTGTAGAAAGTTAGCAGGGGGATGATGAAGCAGCTGTGCAATCAACCTACCTGGGGGCCATTGCTCGGGGACCTCAGAGCTGGCCCTTGGTCTGCAGAACACCACGGTCTTTTCTCCTCCTGTTCCGGAAGTGCTTCTCTCACCCCCGCTCCATCGGTGTTTTCTTGCAGGCCGCTGGATCTCTCGGCGTTTCCCCAGACCAGGGGTGCAGCAGTAGAATCAGCACGGCACCCGGAATTCTCCATGCCCGAGGACGGTCCCGTCCGCTCTCCAGCCAGACCCACTTCCTCCTCCAAGGGCAGCCCGTGCAGTCCTGTGATCAGTGGCCCTGGAAGCTGAGTTACCTGCACCTCCCTTTCTACAGCATTCTCCTTGTCCACCGCCATCTTGCATTTTCCTTGGAGGGGCTCCTGGGCCCTCACCAAGCGCCCCACATCGGTGCTCCTCCCCTTTGTGACTTCCCTCTCCAGGACTTGGATCCTGTGTAGAAGGTGCTCATTCTCCCTCCTTAAGGCCCGGATCATGTCTTCTATCCCCAACACTACGTCCTTTATCAGCTCTTTGTAACTGACCCCAAGCTGGGAAATCAGCGCCTTGAGCTCCCGGTTTTCCCGTGTGACGTGCTCCGTCACGCCTTTGGATGCTCTAAAGCTCTCAGACAGGGCTTTCCCGAGCTGTTCCACACGCACTTTCAGTTTCTCGTTTTCTTCCTCGAGCTCGGAAATTTTGCCGTAACTTTTCCCGTTGCAGTCTTCGAGGTCAGAAATGACCTGCAAACACTGGTCCAGCTCCCTCTTTAAGTGAGCGATGTCTTCCAACAGTGTGCTGTTATCCCGCTCGAGCGCGGATATGTTTTTCACAGTTCGCTCCCTGTCTTTTTCAAGGGCACGCAGCTTTTTACGGCCCCTCTCTTGGTCTCTCTGAAGTGCGATGTTGTCATGTAAAACTCTGCTTCTCTCTTTCTTCAGCCCAGCAATGAGCTGATGAAACCTTCTCCTCACTCTCTCGAGGGCTGTCGGGCGCTCAGAGAGCCAGGTCTGACCCAGCTCAGAGGGCCCCCCGGGGTGCGGACCCACGTCGTCCGAATCAGGCACCGTGCCCGGAAGAACTTGGCCGGCTCCCAGGGCCTCGGTCTCTCCCAGCTCAACATCCTCGCTGCTCTCAGTGGGATGTGCTTCCATGGCAGAACAAAGATCCAAACTCTGGTTTGCCAAAGCCTGCTGAGCACAGGCATTCTCCTGGCAGCTGGGCCACCTGTGAGCAAAGCTCCAGTTTTCTCCTGCCAACGTGGGAACTTTCTGCCGACGACCCTCGCTCCCAAGCTTCAGGATGGAGAGCTGCCGGAAACAAGCTTCCACCTCCTTTTCGAATTCCTCTATGGTGAGCGCAGACCTGCCCTGCCCTGTGCTCGGAGCCTGTGAGTGGCTGGTGGGTTCGGCCCCCTCGGGCGATAAGGCCAATCTCAGAGACAGTGGCAAACCTCCCTCTTTCACAAAGAGAAGCACTTCGTTGGCCTCACATTCCTCAGAACTAGGCTCCTCCAGGAAACCCCTGCAGCCCGGGCTGGACCCTTCCTGATGGAACGCCTTCTGCTCCTCCTCCTCTTGCCCTTGGTCCCCGGGGCTCTCCTCCTGCAGCAGCCGAGCACTTCCAGACCACACGTGGTTTTCCTCCGGGCCCTGAACTCTCCCGACGGCTCGGCCCTGCTCTGCAAGATGCTGAGCGCCTGCTGGAGACGGGCCTTTGGTGTCGTGAGCCCTGAAGCAGGTGGCTGGGGAGGCCTCTTCCTCCTCCTCTAAGGAAAACCCCCCTGGGAGGCCCCAGACACGCCCTGCCCCCGTCCCCCTCCTGCTTAGGGACTCGGGACCATCTGTTGACCCTGCAGTCTCCTCCTGCAGAGGAGGTGGTGCAAGCTCCTGCCCAGGCCAGGGGCGGGAGGCAGCGACCCGGGCTTCTGCAGCCGTGTGCCCGCCCTGCACACCCTCCAGGGCTCCCACCCTGTCCTCCAGGCTCAGGTTCTCACGGCCTTCCTGACTTGGCTGGCGCTTGTCACCGAGGTCTTCCTCCTTCCTGTCCCAAGTCCTCCTCACCTCCTGCTCCTCAGTTCCCCACTCTGGGGCTCCTCCTCCCTCCTTCTGAGAGCCTTTTAGACCCCTGGGGCCTCTCCTGGGTAATGGGGGATTTGAAACATGGGGGGACTCCCGGCAGAGGGGGGCATCGCGGCCCCTTGCCTGGCGATGGTCCTGGCAGGACTGTCCTCCGGCTCTGGGGGCAGGTGGGGGCCTCACGTCCAGCACCTGCTGGCCTTGGAGTTCTCCCGGGGCGGCCTCCCAGGGCAGCGGTGGTGGTGGCAGGGGAGCTGGGTCCCTGGCCAGTCCCCAGGGAGGGAGTGTGGATGTCTGCACCAGGAGAAAGGACTCCTGGGCCGGCACGGCTGCTGGCTTCTGCTCTGAAACCCAGGCCAGCTCCACAGAGAGGAGTGAGCCATCCACGTTCTGCCCTGGGGGGCAGCCACAGATGAGGAGAAGAGGCTGTGCATCCACTCTGGGCTCAGGCGGAGTAAGCTGGGGAAGAGAAGAGAAGAGAAGCTGTGAAGCAGCCCCTTCCTCCACTCTGACCTCATCTCCTGATATTCTCGGTGCCTCCTCACCCAGCCATACAGGCCTTCATAACATGCCAAGCCTAGTACCACCCCAGGACCTTTGCACCTGCTCTTCCCTCTGCCCAGAATATCTCAGCCCTAGATGCCCTCATGGCTCACTCTCTTGCTTCATTCACATCCCAATTCAAACGTTACTTCCTCAAGATGACCCTTGACACCTACCACTGCTCTCTGTCTATTGGCCCCACTTTATTTCCCTCCACAGCGCCCACCACTCTCTCACATCACATATTTAGGTGTGTATTGTCCAAGTGCGCCTACGGCCCCACGCTGTCCTATGCCGTACCCACAGGCCACATGGGGCTTTCCAAACTTAAAGCAACTACATAAAAGTTAGAATTCAGTTCTGCAGCCACCCAGCCAATTTCAAGCGCTCAGAAGCCACCTGTGGTTCACGGCTGCTATATCGGACAGCACAGCAGAACGTGTCCAACATTGCGGAAGGTTCTAGTGGACAGCACTGGGGTGGACTCCTCCCCGAGGGCAGGGACACTGGGCCTAGAATGATGCCAGGCACACGGGAGGTGTGTCATAGATATTTTTATATTCACTTACTGGAGGCGTTTATCCAGAGAGGGGGACTAGCCCAGCTCACAGGACAGGCCCCTGCTGGGCTGGGGTCCGGGCCTGCTGAAGGGAGGGGCGCCTGGGAGACGAAGTTGGCTTCACCCCCAGGCTTGCTGTGGGCCCTCACACGACCCTGGTTCCACCCCAGCCCCACACCGTGCCCAGCGTCATGGCCTGGTCTTCACCTGGCGGGTCAACCCACCCAGCCCGCCCTTTCACTGCCCGTCCCTGTCGTCCTGTCTGTCTAACTCCATCCCTCTGTGGGGTCCAGGTTCTCCAGCTCTCTCCTCCCTCTGGTGTGAGCGGCACACCACGCAGGGGCTCGGAGCAGGACGCGAATGAACACAGAAGCGAAGAGGGCCCCTCTAGGGCTAGAACCACAGACCCACACCAGGGCTGGTGGCCTTAGCTCTGGTCCGAGCGCATCTCTGTTCTTTAGTGACAGGAGAACGGAAGCTGAGAAAGGCTGTGCCTTGCTGCGGCCTCAGGGGGAGCCACCGCAGGGCCGGTTGGAACCCAGCTCCTGTCCACAGGGGATAGCGTGGCGCAGAGTGTGGACCATGGACACGGGAGCTCCGGGTCCTGCTCCCGGGCTGTGTGGCCTTGGAAGTCACAGCAGCTCTTGGAGTCCCGTCTTCCCCTCTCTAGAACAGGGTCACGGCTCCCGCCTCACAGGCGGTGGGGAGGTGTCACGGGATAAAGTGTGCTACGTGGCAGCCAGGCCAGGCACACAGCGAGGCCTCTTCCCGCCCACTCCCCACCATGTCTCAGGGCATTCTATTCCGTCTCCTCAAATCTCCCTCTCAGCCATTTCCAGAAAGTTCTTCCAAACCCAGAGCTTCTTTACCCCTTTCTCCCACCTACTGTGTGGTAACCACACTGTGCAACACACACAGTAGGGCTGATCAGACTCAGATGGTGCCCTGGGCGCGCAGAAAGCCTCTGGCCTCACCTGTGCACGGTCACGTCCTGCAAGCACCCCCAGGAGCTCGGCCGTGGTCTCCAGGCCTGACACCGAATCAGAGGGGCCCCGTCCAGCCCCGATGCAGACCCAGGCGCAGGGACCCTCAGGGGGCTGGCCTGGGAAGGGACAGAACCCCAACAGTTAAAAGACCTTCCTAGAACTTTCCCACAATCACCACCAGCGGGTGTACCACCTGCTGTTAGGATGAGAGAGGACTTCCCGCTGACTCAAGGCCTTTGAGCCCCTCCAGGCAGCCGGGTGCTCACGTCACCCGCCAGGGGAGGAAACTGAGGCTCAGAGATGGGAAATGACCATCCACTGACGGGCAGTGGAACCGGGTCTGGAAGCCACCTCTGCTGACCAATGGACTCACACAGGTGACTAAATCCAGGACACTTCCCTCAGCCTGGCACCGTCATGGTCACACAGGGTCACAATCCCCGCCCCACAGTCGGCATGTGGCCAAGGGAGCTGGCACCCAGGCTTCACCCCCGGGCAAGCGCCGATTCCCTTCTCCAGGACAAGTTTGACCTTGTTTGGCTGGTCAGCTCTGCTCCTCAGAAATGGGACAGAGGGGGACGTCAGCCTTGCTGGTCAGCAGCACCGCTGGGTATAATGACCCCTCATCCGCAAACCGCATTTGACCTTGGAGGACTAAACAGACCACAGACACCCAGGTGGACACTGCAGCCTGGGGCTCCTGAGTGCAGTGAGCTGTGTGCAGGGACCCTGGAAGCCATGCTGAGACTGTTCAGAGACACTGGTTCCCACTAGGGACGAGTTAGGGACGAAGGGTTCTAGGCCCAGCAGCTCCTGGAGCCACCCCTTCTCACCCCTGGGCTGTCACCGGGGTGGGTGGGGATAGACGAACACCTGGACATCACACGGTCTTCTGCGGAGACGGCTCCCCTGGAGGACACCTGCGGGCACCCTTCTGAGGGCTGAAGGAGGGAACTGAAACGTCCAGCTGAGCCTCAGTCGAGGACATTGTCACGGGCATTGTGGACTCGGATCCCACTTTTTGTGTGACTCTGAGTAAGCGACACTCTCTCTCTGAGCCTCAGCTTCCTGTCTGCAGAGCGGGGCAACCACCCCCTGCGTCATCAGAATGGCATCAGCGAGGTAGCCCGACAGTGGGCATCCACGCAGTGTCCACCTCGTGCCCCATGCACCACGGCCCCACACACCTGCTGAGGCCCTGGGTCCAGGGGCCCCGTGGGAGCGGAGGGTGGTGTGCCGGCCATGGCTTCTGCAGGCATCTGGTGCCTTCTCCCCCGGCAGGGGCTGAGGTCCGTCCTGAACACGGCCTGGGGCCTCCTTGAGGAAGACACAAGACGTGGAGAGAGCATGAGTGTCCTTGGCTGAGTTGTTCACTCGGAGACCGTCCCCGCCCCCCGGGCCCTCCCAACAACCCCAGCAGCAAGTCGGATGCCCTCCCCAGGCGAGGAGAGCAGAGGGCACACGGCCTGGCAGCACAGTCCTGGTCCTGCAGGACAAACGGTCTCCTATTAGCACTGAGGCCACACTCAAAGGACAACAAAGAGCTTGTCTGTGCAGCCAGGGTGCCTCTGGGCTCCCCAAGGCGGCACGAAAGGCTCCCAGTCTCCTTTCCTCCCTACCCAGAAGTTCCCTCTGTGTCCCACCAAGGGAGGTGGGCGCCCGCCCAGGGGCTCTGGGCAGTCCTCCTCACCTGTCAACAAGCCCCAAATGCTACAGCCTGGTGTCCTTGGTCGCCTCCCCCCATCGGCCTCTCCCCAAAAGGCAAGCTGGGTGTGCAGCAATGAGCTCCTCCGGGCGGGCCCTTCCCTGCAGAGTATCAGTCAGAGGCCGCCTTCACGGCTGCTGCTGCAGTGGAGCTGCGGGGCTGGCCCAGCAGCTCGGCTCTCACCACCGTCCACACGGGGCTGGGGACGGGCCCGAGCAGCTCGGCTCTCACCCCTGTCCACGCGGGGCTGGGGACGGGCCCTCCAGGTTCCCACTGCCCCGGCTACTTCTAACTGGGTGCTGTTTGCTTCCCACCTGCTCCCCCACCAGACCGTGAGGTCCTTCAGGAGGGGACTAGGCGTTGTTCAGTCTGCACTCTCACAGTGGCCTGGCACACAGTGGGTGCTTAATAAATGCTTGATAGCTGGATGGACAGACAGAACCTGCAGAAAGGCAGATGTTCCAGAATGACTACTGCACTTATGCAAACATTTATCAGGATCCTACTACGTGTGAGGTGCCCTTCCAGGTGAGGGGGAAGGGACGTGGACAGGTGATGCCCCGTCTACCCCTACCTGTCCCCAGTTCCTCACCTGCTCTCAGCAGACCCGGCCCTGACTCCTAGTTGGGCCTCCCGTTTCCCCTCCCATCCTGCTTACAGCCTCCAGGGAGACCCCTCTAACTGCACACTCTGAATTGCAAGCCTGCCCTCGGCTCCGCTCAGGCCACAGATCGGTTCCAATATTGGAATCAGGCACTGGGGGCTGTCCACAGGCTGCCACGGCCACCCAACACTCCCCACCCCGGCTTCCGCCACGGCGGCCACCTTCCCTCCCTGAGGCCCCCATCAGTCCTGGCTCTGGCCTGCCTCGGCACCTCTGCATACGCTGTTCCTTCTGCCTGTCCAGCACGTCCTCCTGGGAAGGGTATTCGTCACCTGCTGCTCACTGGGCAGAGCCCCCACTGCGTCTTACCCTCGGCCCCTCCCTTCCGCAGCCCCTTGGCATCTAGCGATTGCACGGCAGGAAAACGGATCAGGGGTTCTCCTGTCCGCAGCCCTCCCAGGCTCCCCACTGCCCCAAAAGATAACCCCCCGCCCACCCGGCCGCACTGCCCCCACCCCATCTCCGCTCCCTGAACGGACCCTTCCCTCTCCTGCCTCAGCGCCGTGCACCCCCAGTGCCTCTGCCTGCACCTCTCTTCCCGCCCCCACTGCCCCGATAACCTGCTCCCCTCTGGGCTCAGCTTAAAGGCCAAATCCCTAATGAGGCCTTCGGGGGCCCCTCCCTAGATCCAGTCCCCGTCCCTGCTCGCAGCATCTCCTGCTCACAGCCCAGGCCTGTGACGGTCTCGTCATCTGGGTGATGGTTGTGTCATGTCAATTCCCCACACAGACCAGGGATCTCAAGCCTGGCCACAGCTGAGAATCACCCAGAAGCTTTCAACAAGTGCCAAGGCGGGGCCAGCCCAGATCAATGAGCACCCAAGGGCCTGGCCCATCGTTGTGCTCTGCAGTCAGCGGGCTGGGCCCCGCCGCGGCTGCCAGCTGCTCACAGCCCCCCTGAGCTGCCTCCTGTGTTTGCCCATTCGCTTCCCACCTGACCAGAATTAGACATTTTTGTCAACAGTTGAAAATCACCACTGGAACCAGGGGGAGAAAAGGCACTGAAGGAGAGAGAAAAGACAGAAGAGAAAGGAAGAGAGAGAAAGAAAAGAGCGGGAATAGGATGTAGAGAGAGACAGAAACTCAAAGACGTGAGAGGACACGAGAGAGGGTGGAAGGGAAGAGAAGGGAGCAGACAGACAGAGGAGGCGGGAAGGTGGGGAAGGCCGCCGTTGTTGGCAGTTTATTTCTATTTGGATTTTGTTCCAATACCCAAGTTGATTTCCATTCAGCTCAACAAATACCTGCTGGGTGCCTTCTATGTGGCAGCCCCAATGTGGAGCTGGGGACACAGCCATGGACAAAACACACAGGGACCCCTGCCTCCAGGAGGCTCCAGCCAGCGGGACAGTTCCCAGGAGACGATGCTACACCCCCTTCATTTCACAAGTGATGAACTCAACACTCAGAGAGGGAGAGTGACTTGTCCAAGGTCACACAGCACACACCATGGGAGAAGAGGACCAGAGCTCACGTCTCCGAACATGATCCAAGTTTTCTCTCCCTGTTCCCACGCCCGTCTGCTCAGCCGTGTCCATCCTTCCTGCTTTTCAACACTCAAGGCAGCATTTGCCCCAAACTGCATGTGGCTTGAGCTTTAATTTGTAACTATTTTGAAAGGCAATCCAAAAGAAGAAACAGAATTCAGTGACATCCAGACACAAACATTATTAATGTGTTAGAATATATCTTTCTGGGCTTTTTTTTTCCCCCTAAGCTTAGACATTCAAATTCTTCCAAAAGTCTGTTCCTGCAAAAAGTCCATTTTTCTCTGGGTGTTCTGACTTGGCGCCATCAGAGGACAGTTTCCGCACAGCTTCTCCCGCGGCGCGGGGTTCGTGGCCGCCTGACAGCATCTGACGCACGGAATGCCTCAGCTGACTGAGCCAGCTCCCTCTTCTCCAACATTAGGCTGCTTCCACTCTCACAGACTATAAACAGCGCTGAGGTGCTTTTCATCCTTGACAAATATTCAGGATAAAATGGAATCTTGAGGTTTTGCAGACTTGTATTTACAACTAACGGAACTGACCTTTTTGGGTAAGATTACTGGCCGTCTGTATTTCCTTTCATATTATTTGTGTGTTCATGGCTTTCGTCTATTTTTTTTTACATTATTGACACTTTGTTTTAAAGCCTGGCTTGCTGCCGGAGTGAGTAACAAATGCTTAATATGCTTCTTCTGCACAAACGTAAGCCTGGAGCAGGGAGGGGCAGCCGGAACTGCCCGAACAAGGAGAAGATTCTCGTCACTGCCACCAGGGGTCGCTCTACTCACACTGCCGGGGCCGGGAGGCTGGCCGGAGCACCCAGCACTCCTGATGCCACTGTCACCTGGACTGCGATCTCAGCTGTGGGACGACAGCCTGCGCTGACACTTTCAAGAGCGTGACTTTTAATCTCTCTGTATGCGCCTCCCTGCTCCCCTCCAGGCCAGGCCGCAGCCCCTGGGCTGTCCCTGCCGTGGCCATCAACGGCCCACATCACCGCTGTCTGCACCTGTGTCTGCTCCCCTGTAAGCTTTGAAGAGCAGGGTGCCTGCTCCAGCCCCAGTGCCCGGCACGGTGCCTGGGACCCAGCAGGTGCCCAGCACACACTCGCCAACAAGCATTCGGACACCTCAGCAGACAGGCCTCGCTTGCAAACCACAGTCCTTTTAAATTTCCTTTTATCAGGTACCCTGAGCAGAAGACCCCTCCCCAAACTCCTCCCCCCGCTCCAGGTCAGGGTTTGTCCTTGCAGTGGCCTGTTCCTTCGTTCCTTTGGGGACCTGGGCTCCAAGCGACTGGCTCTAGAAACCGTGAACTGTGTGTTCCCAGACAAAGCACGTGCCTTCTCTGGACTGTGGGGCTGTGGACAGGGACACCCAACCCTGTGCCTCGTTTGGGAAAGTGCCTTGTCAATATGAAGTAAGTACAAGAAGGCCTGCCCTGGCCATCATTCACACGCGATGCCGCAGGCACATCAGATACCAAGGGGCCGTTCAGGGCAATGGCCCCTAACAATTTGTGATGATTTTCTATGTGATGGTCACAGCCCCGGGGCCACACCCTCCCGCTAGTTTCCAATCTCTAGACCTCACCGCCCAGCATTCCCATCTTGAAGTGGTCCCTTCAGCTGGGAGTTTCCATGTCCCACGGGCGGTGGAAAAAAAACCTTACAATCATTCATTCACTGAGTCACTGACTCACCAAGCGTCTCCCAGCCCACAGCCAGGGGCCGGGATTCAGGGCTGAGTCGGACCCAGGTGGTGATGACGAGGAAGGCACAGAAGCGGGGGGCGGGCAGCCAGGCCTGGCACAGGGAGAATTAGGCCCCTAGAGGCGGGTCCTGTCACTACGGGGGCCACCGAGGACGGAACGAGTTGACGCAAGGTCAGGGAAGTCTTCTTGGAGGAAGTGACATTCCCACCAAATGGATAGAAAGTAACAGGGGTTTACCAAGTGGCAGTGGAAGCCTTTAGAAGCAGGGAAGGCACACAGGCTGGAAGATCGTGGTATATTCAGGGACCTGCAGGAGCTCAGGGTTGCCGGGGCAGAGTTGGGGAGGCAGGCACACTGAGCCTGGAGCACCAGGCTGGGCAGCAGGGGCCTCGAATGCCATTGTTACGAGGTGGATGGAGTTTGATCCGCAGGTGTTGGGAACCAGGGGGTTTATAAAGGGAGATCCTTTGGGGGTTACCAGTTATCCGGAAAAGGCCGGTGAAGACCTGCCTGGGGGTCTTAGCCCGTCTGGGTCCCGGCCCCCTTGGAAATGCACCGTCAACTCTGGGAAATCACGCAGGCGTGCAGCGCTCTCTGAACTCTGAGTATGACCTCATCTGTGCGCAGCCACCCCCACGGGCCAGTGCAGTGGGTGCAGTTGCAGACCAAGACCCCAGAGGGCAACATCTGGCTTTGTGGTTTCCTTATCAATAGGTTCCAGCATTTTAACTTTAAAATCTCAGGCC